AGTTGTACCATTTTAACCAGATAGCTTAGCAAATGTACCACTGCTGGTAATATGCACGCCCTTACATGAGTTAATCAGCGTGGACATTCAGATATATCATTGCCTACACTAGTGAATTAGTCAACAATTATAAAACGCGAGACAATATAGCTAGTGGTCTTGGGTGTCGCACTGATTTGAACTTATCCGTTTGTTTAGCAACTTAGTGATGCCATGAGTAACTCATTAATTAAACAGCAACGATGTTATGGTGTTATTTGTTCTTTTGTACGACAAACTATTACATGAAGTACTGAACTGTAGGTACAATGTCTGAAGACTAGATATTGTGCGTCCCTACATTTATTTTTTGACGGTGGACCTCTCGTATCCCCCTTGCGGGCGGGACGCCAAATTAGGTAATAATGAACAAGCCCCCTGTGGATTCATACATTTGTCATCACCAGGTTGCCACTATAATAATACCATCTGACCTCTAAAACACGCTGTTGATAAAGAATTTGAACCGAAAAACAAAAAAAGTGTTTGGGCCATACTTAAAATATGTTTTTTTTCCTTCTTGTTAATTAAACATAAAGACAATCCTCAGAACACTGGAAATCGCTTCTGAGACGTTCTAGAAAACACATTTTTTTGAGGATATCCCCCAAACCCCCCTTAAAGGGAGGGGGAACACCCCTTCCCGTACCCTCCCCCTCCTCGAGCACACCGTCGACTATTGAGAAATATTTCTATACTTTGGTATAGTGCATTTGTGTCTTTTGAAAATAACATAAGGAGAATACACGTGCTCACCATTCGTTAAGTATTCGGTTAAGCTAAAGAGACTCTAGCTAAGTTAGCTTCAGTACATATTTGTGGACCTCTGTCCATAGTGTCCGAGACACTCTTGTGTCTTTCACATTAACCCGTGTGTGACATAACGGATTGTAAAGTGCCAATACCTAAACACATATACTGGACTCTGTTTGTTTATCCTTTTCTAAGAGCCGATTGATGTCGGTCAAGAGTTCACGTTTAATTTACTTTGTGTGTGTACTAGAAATCATTCAACCGCCACGAACCGGTCGCCCAGGACCAGGTATTTACTTCCAGTTTCGGCTGTAATTAAGAAGATCGCCACACCAGTACTCTAAAACGCACGGAAACAATGTCGGGACAGGTAAGTGTGTTTAAAAGTTACTTTTCACAGTTTTAAGTAAAGTAACATGTCGGCGATGTTATTATCCAGAATACGATGCTATTTCACTCAAAGTTTACGGCGTGACTGTTTACATTACGATCATATGTATAGGACTACATGCATGCTCGTCCATTCATCATGTATTATCAGAAATAATAGAACATATATAGATATAAATATGTAAACATATATTCATGTACGTTCATCATGCATATTTACATTAAGATAATATACATGCCTACATCAATACTCGTTCATACCTCCTGTATTATCAAAAATAATAGAACATATGTAATTCCCAGCGAAATTGGCACTGCCTGAAGGCAATACCACACACGTAATTTATCAGTGATGTCACAGACACCACCATGCAGTACATTGCGCGTATGGATATATTTCTCGAAGTCTTTATATATACACGTTGGTTTGGTTTGGTTTGGTTTAGTATTGTTTAACGTCCTATCAACAGCTATGGTTATTTAAGGACGGCCTCTCATGTATGCAAGATGCATGCGTGTAGTATATGGTGTGTGTTTTGGGAGGCTGCGATATGTCCGTGTTTGTCTCCTTGTGATAGTGCGGAACTGATGCCGACTTTATAGTGCTTCCTCACTGAAACATACTGCCGAAGACACCCAGCAGGACACCCCACCCGGTCACATAATACTGATAACGGGCGAACCACTCGTCCAACTCCTAAATCCTGAGCGTTAAACAGGAGTAGAAACTACCATTTTTACAGACTCAGACCCTAGGGTACGTGTAGGTTCAAATTTGGCAAAAGCCTCGGTTTTACAAAATTTGAAAACCCCTCGGCAGGAATGTCCCTATCCTACACCCCTGGGCATGAAAGAGTATTTTTCTCTCATTCCAACCACCAGAATGAGCCCAGAAACCATGAAAATGCGTTTGGACTGGCCACCATTTTGAAAAATATCAATGTTTTTCCCTGAGCTTTTTAGACGAAAACGAATCGGCCAGCCAGATTTAGTTTATACCATATTTGCAAACAACGTTTACGAAGAAAAATTAATCACATCTTTCTAACGTGTAAGGTAAATATAAAGTAAAAGGTTTTAATTTCATCACGTCGCCTTTTCCACATTGCGGCATCGGAGAGTTCCAAATTCGTGACGTCACGTCACGTGAAATGGGGTGTAAGATTAATAGAATCTTTCACCCCCTTGGGGGTGAGATAGGAGAAGCTCAACCCGAGGGGGAGGATTCTTAAGTTGCCAAACACGAGGCTTTGCCGAGTGTTTGGCAACTTAAGAATCTTTCCCCGAGGGTTGAGATTCCACTATCTCACCCACAAGGGGGTGAATGATTCTTTTTCTCTTACCCTTTTCTTTCATTGTGTATCATATGCACAATGTAATGAAAACGTTACATGCTAGATTCAGGGTTAAAGTGACGTTGATGGATTGTTGACGTGACGTCATTGTATTGTTAAAGTGACGTCATGCCATTGTTAGGAATAGGGGAATCCCCCCGTCTCAGCCCTAGGGTGAGACAAGGAAATCTCACTCCGGTAAAAATGCGGATACACCTGTCCAGGGTAAGAGAAAGAAATTTACTACACCCCTTTCTTACCGTGGACAACTCTATCTTACACACAGGGAAATGAGAGAAATGTTTATAGTAAATGGACATCATCACGCCGGGTCGATTGTCGGGTAGTCAATGACAAATTATAACCCCCCAGGACTCGCAGTGATCGGGAATCAGATACTGTAAAATGGCCGTTTGGAGGACATTTGTCGTCTGCTTGACCTCAGAACAATAACACGCGTTAATTAAAGTTCCGCAGAACTCTCGTAAAGCTAGTATCGGAAGGTTTAGATCCGTTTAGATTGTTTGATACAGGTAATTACATTTCTGTATGTAGTCCTTAGATAAACATACCTACCAAAAAAGAGTTTCTTATGCCATTCGTCGGTCGAACATGCTGGATAGACAACTCCTGTTAAGCTTTACACTGCCTTGATCAGGCGCTGATAGAAAATAAATAAACACTGGATTTTATTGAAAATTTAATTTAATAAATAAATTTTATCAAAAACTAAATTTTAGTATTGTTGAATGTCTCAATTATTCTATTAATTTGTACGATTTACCCTCTGGAAAATTAGCCGGATACAGATAGATCTTCAAATTCGAATATTCGTTTTTCCGCCGGGAATCCACTCCAAGCAAGGGCTAGCTTCGCTCCTGTTGATAGCCAAAATTATCTATTAGTGGAACGGTTCATCATACGTTATTAATTTTAGATTACCTATATCTATTTGGATTTCCACCTCTTTGGGTCCTAGCACCACCACTGAGTCATATCAGGACAGAACCACTGTTTGGTGCAGCGTCATCTTTTTAACGCTGCAACAATTATCAAGAGTTAAAGATGTAACGGCATGCACGCGTCAATCCTCGATATCCACGAGTTACGCTCACTTTCGCTCTCTGTACTCCTGCAATATTTCATAACGAAATCGAAGGCGCAAAAAGACAGCTGTCTGTTGTCCGACCAATATAACTTTCCTTTGAAGATTAAAGAGGGGCGACACCCGACTTCAAAGCCAATCATGTTTTACCGTTTTGCGACTGCGATATTCTTTTGATGTACATCAAAGGATCGAACTAGCCTTCTTGTCTTATCAACAAGGTGGCGAACACTGAGACTTCACTATTGCTATGCTAAATCCCAGGGGTGAGGAGAGCAACAGTGAGCAACAACTGGATATCGAGGATGGTGCGCTGTAGCGTGCCAATATGTGAAAACAACCCAATATGTGAAAAGAGGAAAAAAAATATTTAAATGGACTGTTTTCACATATTGGCACGCTACAGTGCGCGTCTAGCGATCATCTTTAGGGAAGTTTTCGAACCCACAGAGCTGTTACATGCAAATATATGCATGTAATCTGTCAATGTGATTAAAATCATCTGTTACATGGCAGGCGTAGTAGGAAGTTAACGGAGCCTAACAGATGATTTTAATCAATTTGGTAGTCTGTTGATAGGTTCTCATTGCAGATTAGACTGTATTTCTTTCTTGATTTCTAGGACAACCCTTCGTACCAAGGATATAAATCCCAGATGAAATCCGCGTACGACAACAACGCCTCCTACGTTATAGATAAAGATGACGTAGAGGTCAACGTGCATTCGAAGTCGAAGGTAGGTGGTGTATAACACACAAAAAGGATGCTGACATTCTAAAACAAAAGAGGTATGTTTGACTCGCATGACGCATTGTTTGAATTCATGTAACATATATATTATACAAATTACGAATCCTTACGTTTGGTAATATTAGTGCCAACATATTACGACAACTTCTCATAAAGAAAAAAGAAAAAAAGACCATTCTGTCCTTCTACTACCCGAGTGGCATTTATAACACCGAATTATATTTGTTATCCAAGTCCGTGTATATGTCGCTAATTATTTGGAGTGTATGTTGATATCGCTCTGTCTCGCCGTCGTTTATGGATCGAAGGAAATAATTTCGCTAGCTTTTCAGCTACATTCATGAAACACAGTACCCACAGGAAAACAAGAGAACGAATGCCATTTTTATTGATCTTTCTATTTTTCTGTCTGTCTGACAAACTTAGGGTACAGATCTAGAAGAAAACTGTATAGACCTTATGCGTTCTCAAAAGTACAAATATGATGATGATGCAAGGATGGCGGTCAAGGTGATGGCTTTCAAAGAAATATCTTTTCGGTTGTTTTCCCAAGAATTGTCAAAATATGGTGTTTTTCAAGATCGCGATTTTGAAGACGAGTTTTCCAAAACGACTGTTTTCACGGTTTTCCCCCCAAGACTCACTGAAAGGGGGAAAGGGGGTTCACCAAACTATACCAACATCTTGGATAATTTGGGAAAACTATTGAGAGCTGACATCTAAAAATAAAACATGCTTGGAAAAATCCTTGGTAAATCTTTGATGATGCCATATTGGACCCCACCCTTTTATTTTGTATGATTAACCAAAAGTAAATCCCTATCCGATCCTTGCATCATCATCACTCACAAACTCATGATAAGCTTGGAAATAACTGTCTGAGGTAAAAACGGTCAGTCAGGTGAAATATGATACCTGTAAAAGCTGACAAATGCTAACACCTTTATTTTTAGATACCTGAACAGTTTGACGACGGAATAGATAGGAGATGTGGATACGGAAAGCTGAAAGCGGGGCAAGTTATGCATCATCCATCATACCAATTAATGCTTTCAAATCAAATTAATTGAATTAATTCAAAATGAAATTCAATAATGCTTGTTCAATGGACACTTAGTGCCGTAATGGTATTGTATCAGGATTTAGTTGTTTCGGCCTTCATTAATATAAATCAGGGTCAAATCTTATATGCTGATTGTTATGGTAATTAGCAAAACAAATTTAAATTGAGTGTGAATAAAGTCTAAAAATATAAAATATATATATATATATATAAAAAGAAACTGCATTCATGAGGCTATGAATGTTAATAGATCCGAGTCATTTTAGAACCCCTTCAGCATTGTAAGAACCAAACATTTAGGTGACGTTATGCTGGTCCAGGAATGCCGTCTATACTGACGATAATGTAAATTCAACACCGCAAATATTAGGCTATTACATACATGTATATTATTCGTAACATTTTGATCACAAGTAACTATAAATATAAAATGTGAATATCTTATTGAACGGAGTCTTTAAAACATTTTCGCCGTTGTGAACGCAAATCAGTTTAATCTATATTTAAAAACCTCACAGCTGGCTTCATCGTATATATGTTTGATGATGTAACCGATTGGCGTTCCTTCCGGCATGTTTGTTTGAAATACTAAATTCTTTTTTAACTCATTCATCCCTGGAAACACATTTAACTCTTCCAACTCAAAGGTTGGAATAGATCATTATGAAATTTCAGGGGTGAATGAGTTAAACAGCTCCATTGAAGTTTACCGTCATACATACGCACATGGTACACTATATTATTTATAATTCAGATCAGATATTCTTTTTGAATGAATGAGTCGTATCACTCTTCAGTGGAAATGGGTTCGGTCTCGCCAAGATATACGTATATTAAAATATAAATTTGAAATCCATGTTTTGATTTACTGAAGCCGGTTTTTCGAGCCACTAGAATGTAGATTACCATGAAGTTATTTTGTGATCATGTTTAGCGACACTTCGAATAAAAACATTTTGTTTTCGTCATAACGATGTTTAACTACTTGTATACATGTATACACAGATGGATGCAGGTGTTCAACAAGATGTCGATTTTCGTCTTTTGGGCATTCATCTTGTGCTTCCTAGAAGGGTTCGCCGTCAACGGTATCGGCAGTGCTGCTCTTCCGTCAATAGAGCGTCAGTTCCAGCTTACCTCAACCAAGTCAGCCCTCATTCCGAGTTCACAGGACATTGGGGCACTTATAGTTGTTCTCTTTGTTAGTTTCATCGGCGGACGTCATCACAAACCGTTCATCGTTGCTTCAGGAGCTGTTATAATGGCCTTCGGCTCATTCCTCTTCGTGGTACCCCACATCGTTGAGAAATACACACCTGGAGGTAAGCTTTAGTTAAAGTACATGTGTCATCATCCTCGATACTCTACGGGTAACGCTCACTTTCGCTATCTGCACCCCTGGAATATGTCATAGCAGAATTGAAGGCTAAGTGTCCGCTACCTTGTGGATCAGACAAGAAGACTAGTTTTATCCTTTGTTCATTAAAAAAAATCTCGCGGTCGCGTAACGGTAAAATGTACTGACTTTGAGGTCGGATGTCGCTCCTCTGTAATCTTCAAATGACAGTTATCAGCCTAGCGATTGGTCAGGTAGTTTTACCTGAGACCAATCAAACATCTATCTTTGTGCCTTAAATTTCGCTATGACATATTCTAGGGGTGCAGTTAAACAACTGAGTATATATTTCACAATATCTGTGTAATCTGAAGATATTTTTCGTACGATAATAAATTAAAACAAAAAGAAAATATTTTTGATTTTCTTCTTAAAGATTTATCCCAGTCACAAGATGACATATGTCCTGCCGCAGCTGGCGGGGGAGGCGGACCGCCGCCATCTTGTGAATCGAGCGGAGAGAAGTATCTTGGCGTATTCATGGCAGCACAGATACTTCACGGTTTGGGATTTACTTCAATGTTTACACTTGGGACGGTCTACATCCACGAGAACGAAGATCAAGCCACGGCAGCTATCTACATCGGTTAGTGACGTCATTTCCTCTTTAAGATTTTGTGTTAGTGGTCTCGTATAGAGCATAACTCAAATGGTCCACTGTTTTTTTACCGTTGGCTAAAATAATCCCACAATGTTAAAGTCACTTTTCTTATTCAGAAGTCAATTCAGACCGGGGCCGAGTAGATTATTTCCCGTCTTTGCAGTAGCGATTCAAACGTTTCTTGGGTTTCTAGAAAAAATGCAAACAAAATGCTGAAGTTTCCCGGTATTTATATTTTATCAGCATTCTTGATTTCTGCTCAGAATTCCGAACCTGATAACAAACAAAATTGAAAAAAAAACATATGTGTGTTTGTAAATAATAACAACACAAAATAATACCTTGTGTCTGGTACTGCAATGGAAATCTCATTTCATTACCAACTCTACGTCTCTATCTGTGATAGTGATTAAGAGTGTTTCACAATTTCAGTCACGGTGAGTGGTATAATGTTAACTTTTAGGATTCACTCAAATCCTGTTGATAATTGCAAAACCATTGGTAAATACAGTTACTGCATTTTAAATTGAAATTAACTTGAAGTTTGGTTTTTATGTTTCTTATGTTCTTATGTAGAAAAGTTGCTCACTTTCGAACGGTATCTTCATCCACTTCGACCAAAGTTCAGTGTTCATCAGTTTTTAATTTACAAAGATTTTCATAGAAATCTTCAATTTTTTCGTCCGCTGTAACTTGAAAGGTTTATTGGTCCTGACTTGTCCACTTTTGACCCTCGACAGGTCTGACGTACGCAGCTGCGGCGATTGGGGTTGCTGCTGGCTTTTTCGCTGGTGGTCAGCTTTCAGAGAAGCTGTTCGTTGATTTTGACAGAGTGGACCAGGAAAGGTATTGTACAACCCCAACAAACATCAAACTCGATATCTCAATACTATCTAACCTAGAGAGGTCCCGATATCTCGAAACTCTCGTACTAAGAGAGGTAACGTACATCCCCATCAAACATTAAACTCGATATCTCAATATACCATCTAACCTAGAGAGGTCCCGATATCTCGAAACCCTCGTACTAAGAGAGGTATTGTACATTCCCAACAATCATCAAACTCGATATCTCAATAACATCATACCTAGAGAGGTCCCGATATCTCGAAACTATCGTACTAAGAGAGGTTTCGTACATTCACAACAAACCTCAAACTCAATATCTCAATAACATCATACCTGGATAGGTCCCGATATCTCGAAACTCTCGTACTAAGAAAGGTTTCGTACATTCCCAACAAACCTCACAACACGATGTCTCTATACCATCTTACCTGGAGAGGTCCCAATATCTCGAAAACCTCGTACTAAGAGAGGTTCGTACATTCCCAACAAACCTCACAACACGATGTCTCTATACCATCTTACCTGGAGAGAGGTCCCGATATCTCGAAAGTCTCGTACTAAGAGAGGTGTTGTACATTCCCAACAAACCTCATAACACGATGTCTCTATACCCTTTTACAAGGAGACGTCTAACTACGTTCGGTAGTTATGATTATGACTTTTATCAGTTTTTGACGTTTAGGACCTGTTTTCTGGAAATGTCGAGAATTTGTTTCTTATCTCATAAGTCATATTATATTCATAGACAATATTTTCAGTTTTGACAACTAAAAATGAACAGAATGAAATAAGGAATTTACCAGATCTTTTTGTTTTTGAATCACCCTATTTTGACAACTGCTGATATCCATGAACTACTTTTTTCGCATTTCAAAAACTTTTGCATTTGGTTTTTGTCGTGGTATTTCATGGTCAAATAATGCTTTAACTTATAGTTAAGTCAACGGTTAATGAGTTTACAGTACAGTTAAAAAATAGGAATAGATTTTTATTTAAGGTAAGGTGTATTTGTTAGTTTTAGTTCAAATTAGAGGGTTCGTTTTAGTTAATGGTGGCGGGAGGCTCGTTATATGTAATGGTGGCGGGAGGTTCGTTATATGAAATGGTGGCGGGAGATTCGTTATATGTAATGGTAGCGGGATATTCGTTATATGTAATGGTGGCGGGAGGTTCGTTATATGTAATGGTGACAGGAGGTTCGTTATATGTAATGGTAGCGGGAGGTTCGTTATAAGTAATGGTGGCGGGAGGTTCGTTATAAGTAATGGTGGCGGGAGGTTCGTTATAAGTAATGGTGGCGGGAGGTTCGTTATATGTAATGGTGGCGGGAGGTTCGTTATATGTAATGGTGGCGGGAGGTTCGTTATATGTAATGGTAGCGGGAGGTTCGTTATATGTAATGGTGGCGGGAGGTTCATTTCAGTTAAGTGAAGGCTTTTAATAATCAATAAATGGTTGAGGGATTTACGTTGTATTGAATGGAAGCAAAGTTAGTGATTCAGTTAAGGGCAGGGGGTTGGTTAATATAATAAAAGATAGGTCAATGGAATGCTAAGTAAAGAGGAATGCATATGTTTTAGTTAAGGGTAAAGGAATGTGTGTGTTATTAGTTCAAGCCCGAAAGATAATGAATGATTCAGTACGCCGTGGTAAAAATAATCACCTTGTAACCTCACATTGGGAACTCAAAGTGCATCGTTGGAGGCCTCTTACACCTTACTAATTTGTATTGATTATTTTTTTCAGTCTTGGGTTCAATGCTCGTGACCAGCGATGGATTGGGGCGTGGTGGGTGGGATTCATCATCTCCGCTGTGGGCTTTCTCCTGGTGGCAATCCCCATCTACGGCTATCCAAAACACATGCCAGGCAAGTAGAAGATCAGTTTGCGGTTTTTATGACATGTTCTTCACAATTATCGAAGTCCTATGACTAGCTCATGCTTCTGAAATGGAGACATCATGGAGACAAAGACAATCAAATACGGGAGTCATCAAAAATATTTGATTGATACACCAATCATAGCACAAAGGCTATGTAACAATATATATACCTATACCAGTACCGTAATACATGTAAACGAGTAGGTTATGTCGTATTGAAACACCTGTAAAATGCATTTACACAACTATGCAAAATGCTGTGACTATAGTGACAATGACTCGTTAAACACTACTGGGAAAGTGATTGTCACCTCAGTTCAAATGTTGCAAAATGTTTGATGGTGTCCCTGATGAATGATATTTTGTTTGCAGATGAAAAGCATCTACCATTGGAAAGCCTTCCAACAGTAGTGTCTTACTGAAATGTCTAGAGTTGGGGGCTTTCTGATATGTTGCGTGCAAAATGGCTACATGAAAAGGTAGCTGATCGGGAATATCTTATCGCCGAATATCAGACAGTCATCCGGAAATTCTAACTGCCTATTTGGTCCGATGGTAGGCAAATGAGTTTAGATTTGAACATAGTTTAAATGATGGAAGAAAACTCACTTTGTACCAAACGTAGAATGTAATGAGCTGTATATTCACTGTAACAGTGTAATGAGCTTAATATTCACTGTAACAGTGTAATGAGCTGTATATTCACTGTAACAGTGAAAGGATCTGTATAGTCACTGTAACAGTGAAATGAGCTGTATATTCACTGTAACAGTGTGTGTGCAATGATATTCCACACCCGGTCTGTCATCCTCGAAAATTCCAGAGATTACACTTTCTTACGTTCTCTGACTCCCGAATAATGTCATGAAGAAATGGAAGGCTCGGTTCGCGCCACCATATTAATGATACAGAATAGACTAGTTTGATCTTTTTATGCTCATTCAAAGAATCGCTCGGCTGCATAACGGTACAATTGACTGGCTTTGAAGTCGGATATCGCTCTTCTATAATCTTCAAAGGACGGGTACCAGTCTATCGAATGGTCAGGTTTTTTTTACCTGAAACAAATCAATACGATGACTTTCGATTTTTTCATTATATATTTCACGGGTGCAGATACCGTAATGAGTGTAACCCATGGAATTACGAGGATGCCGGTCTTTATACACGATATGGTCTCCAAACGATAGTCTTTATTCCCGTAAAAAATCAAATCGCTGTATGAAGTCCTGAATGTGTATCCATAGAAACGTTTAACCTCACATGTCCATCCCTTAGCGATAACGTTTTACTGCAACCCAATGACCCAACCACATTCTGAATGAAAAAGGTAAAACATTGGTAAAGGAAAATGAAATATCACAAACCCCAACTAATCCTTTGTGCACAACATCAACTAGTCGTGTACATTACAATAATGGTTTTGTTTATATCCCGAAAAATCGAGGCTGTATGTTCCGTCTGAACAAAATAAAAATAGAATTAAAGATATTTATTATTTGGTTTATGCTATTTTCTACTTTCGTGCTTAGCTTAGCTTAAAATAATGAAATGCTTATTGCTCCAGACTAAGGAGATATGTTCTATTTAAAGGACAATTGAAAACCTGAATAGAAATGTAGCAAGACATCCAATAACAATCGCAAATTGATATATTTTCAAATACCAATAACAATTTATCACAAACATTTTTTTACCATTTTTTCTTGTCATTCGATTTGGTGTAAACATAAATTGTAGAATATTCCTATCGTGTAAATAGCTAACTTTTTATTTAATGTTAACACATTATCTATATTGTGTTTTATTTGATATGGTTTATTACATTTCTTTTATATTACTGTTTTTTAGCGTTGATGTTGTGTCGACATGTTTTCTGTGTATTCCTGTCACGCTAGGGCTACCGGCTCAAATTTGGTGTAAAACTAATTTCCTTTACACATATTGTCTAGGTTTTTATTTATGTGGTAATTTATTACGTTCGGTTTTTTAACAGTAAATCAGTATCTAGATATTACCGAACAATGCAACATAAGTTACATGTTTGGTTGTCAACGCTGATACCAACTGATGCCATTAAACGTTTGGGACAAAAAAGGTCCCATGTTTTGTCAGCAGATACAAATTCATTTGTAATAAGATGTTAAAAGCATTTATTATACAGACCAACATACTTTTTTGAATGAAATATTTTGAGAAGGAAAATAAAACACCTTTGTACACTCGATAGGTTATGGACCAAAAAAAGAGTCGAAGACGGAAGACAAAAAGGGTGTCGCGCATTCTACCAAGCAAATAATTTTCTCGTTTTTCAAAGATTTACTGACATTGGTAAGTTTTTTCCGTGTTTATTAAGCTTAGATTGACCTATCTGTTATTAAACGTATTCAATTCTGAAACATTGTCTGGGATGATTGTAGATTTTATTCTTAGCTGATCAATCAAGTAATACGATATGGTTTTGAGTTTTCAATCTCAAAGTGAAAACTGTTACTGTATATTGATTCTTAGTCAAAGAAGATGAGCAGAAGCACTCCACATTCTGCTATGTAAAAATCTTTCAAATAATGATATGTTACCGATTTTTGTTTAGGTTACATTGCTTAATCTCAGGGCTTTTAACGATGTATTGTTTGTCTATTCGATATTTAACGATGTATTGTTTCTTTCATCGATATCTAACAATGTATTGTTTGTCTAATCGATGTCTAACGATATATTGTTTTTCTCATCGATGTCTAACGATGTATTGTTTCGATATCTAACGATGTATTGTTTCTCTACTCGATTTTTAACGACGTATAGTTTCTCTATTTGATATATAACTGCTAGCATGGGTAGTTTCTCTATTCAATATTTAACGACGTATAATTTCTCTATTCGATATTTAACGACATATAGTTTCTCTATTCGAGATATAACTACTAGTAAGGGTAGTTTCTCTGTTCAATATTTAACGGCATATAGTTTCTCTATTCGGTTTTAAACTATGTATTTTTTCTCTATTCGATATTTAACGACCTATTGTTTATCTTTTGATTTTTAACGACGTATAGTTTATCTTTTCGATTTTTAACGACGTATAGTTTCTCAATTAGATATTTGACGATGTATAGTTTCTCGATTCAATATTTAACGACGTATAGTTTCTCTATTCGGTTTTTAACGACTTATTGTTTATCTTTTCGATTTTAAACGACGTATAGTTTCTCTATTCGATATTTGACGATGAATTATTTCTCTATTCGATATTTAACGACCTTTTGTTTATCTTCTCGATTTTTAACGACGTATGGTTTCTCCATTCGATATATAACTACTAGTATGGGAAGTTTCTCTATTCGATATTTAACGACCTATTGTTTATCTTTTCGATTTTTAACGAGGTTTAGTTTCTCTATTCGATATATAATTACTAGTATGGATAGATTCTCTATTCGATATTAAACAATTTATTGTTTCTCTATTCGACATTTGACGATGTATTGTTTCTCTATTCGATATTTAACGACGTATTGTTTATCTTTTCGATATTTAACGACGTATAGTTTCTCTTTTCGATATTTAACTAAGGGTATTTTATCTATTTAATATTTAACGACGTTTAGTTTCTCTACTCGATTTTTAACAATGTTTAGTTTATCTGTCCAATAATTACGATCTACGTTTTCTCTAGAAGATATTAGCTGTATGAATCTTTATACAATCAAAAAGGGAAAAGTGAGACAAAAGCAGGTCATACAGAAGGAATGTCTGTACACAACCATTTCAGTGTTGTTACTTACCAAGTTCTGGCTTTGAGCATTTGGCATTAATCGGATTTGACCTAGATTTACATGGCGAATATCGTCGACGAAGCAAAATACGCTTACTCTTTCGGAACACCTGGTCTTTTCCCCCATTTTTTTTAAATGTCATTGAAATATGTTAATTTGTACTGTGTTTCTTGTCGTACACCAACTTAAAAGTTTATATTTGTACTGTGTTTCTAAGGCCTTCTTTATATCAGATCAAAAACCCGGTATACATGTGCATAAACCTGGGCGGATGTGCATCGTCCCTCATTATATCCGGGGTGTCAGCCTTCTCGTTCAAGTTTCTTGCGGAACAGTACCGACTTAACTTTGATGACGCTGGTTACCTTATTGGTAAGTTATCCTACATGTACCGAAGATTGTGATCAAAGACACAAAGTATAAATGTGTAATAATTAATAATACTTCTTTTGTTTGCTCTGTTTATCTTTCTGGTGTTCGTAATTGTCACTTTTGCATGTATAATTTAATTTAAAGATGTTAATTTCTTTGAAAAAGATAACAACATTAGTCGCTTGAAATACTATTTTGTAAATTAATTATATACAGTTGATATATGTATCACCAATCATCCCTTGTTAATAATGCTGTTGAGTCATATTTAAACGCGTTTATTTCAACACAGGAGGCCTCATACTTGTTGGAGCCGTTGGCATGGTGATGGGAGGAGTACTTGTGAGGATATTTAGACTGGAGATCGTTGGAATGACGCGTCTTAGCATGGTGGTTGCTCTTGTGTCCGCAGCGCTTGGAGTTAGTCTCCTTGCTGGGTGCCCCAATGTGAACCTTGTAGGACTATCAGTGCCTTACTCTGATAACAGGTAAGATTCGGCTGGACCATGCGCCTCCTTGTTCATACATCAGTCCTGCAACTCTGAAAATATTGAACAAAATATTATTTTAGCTATTAAATAGCTTTGTTACAATATATTTGACGTCTTCTGCCTCTTATCTTGTTGTCTTCTATTAATGAATCTTGGTACACATGATTCACACCTGAGGTAGGTGTGCTATTGTATGTATACGTTAGCCTATTACATACATCACATGCATATATATATATGTATTTTGTTTACCTAGTTTCGTAAAATTTTCGCTTATCAGATTTCGCTTCAAATTGAATTCTAATTCTTTATTCTTTTAATGGGAGTTTAAAATATATTTTCTATCGTTTTAACTTCTCCTTTTTTATAACTGACCTTTTAAATCCGTTTTGTCTCATGTTAACGTTCGGGATATATTTTGTTATTTTTTGTTGGCGTTGAGTTATATTTTGCACCTCGATATTGGCTTTGAGCTATATTTTGTCTTTGTATATATCCGTCTTCAATAATTTGTAGATGTGAACGTAAGGATGACAACCAATCACATAAAATATGAAGTTTTATATAAATAATAAAACAACGACATAAACATGGCACTGACGAACCTAATAACCGTAACAACATCCAAATTAAAAACGAAGGATGGAAAAAAGAACATTCATGATTTAGCACTTTAAAATTAAAACTGAAATATGTTGTCCTGTTTAAATCATTCCAGTGCTATAAGCGGATACCTTGACGCTTGTCAGGGGTCATGTGATTGCACATCCAGCGCATATACTCCTGTGTGTGGCCAGGACAACAACTTGTATTACTCCGCCTGTCACGCTGGTTGTAGCACAAAAGCGTCAGCGGGCCAGGTAAGATACCAAACAATGTGTTAATCTGATAATGTAATGTTACCTCTGATTGTAACCTTATTACTTTAATCACAACGTGGAGCAGCAACCATAGATTACTTCTGCAATTTGGTTTAATTTAAGACCTCGTCATGTCCACGACGCGGTAGATATATGGTTTCAAAAGGTCAATTGGAAGTACTCTTACGTGTAAAGCATTCCTACATCTGATAAATAAACAATTCCTTGCGAAGGAAAATATAGAATTAATTAATAAATCTGTCAGATCTACCGATAGGCCTTTCGAATTCTGCCTTATAGGGCTTCTTCAGGCGGATTGATGTGTATTTATCACCGTTGGTTACATCACGTCTTCAATATTTTTTAGTCAACGATTTTAGTGAAGTCATCAATAAACAATAGTGACGTCACAAACAATACCAGAACAAAGAAAACATCTTCATACGATACGTTGTGAAAATCATTGTGCATTCAATATATTTCTGATGTACAGAATTATTTCCATCATAAGTTTCATGATATTAAAAAAATGAGTTTCTTTTTGTTTGGGAAAAAATAATAATTTTATTATTGTAATCTTAAAGTAACAATTTCCCAAATATTTTCGCATTACAATTACCAAGGATGCATGTTAGAGGTGTAAATATGCCTAAGTGTATGCGCGGCCAAAAGACCCGGAGACAAAATATCTACCGAATCATAAACACCCTTTTGCATGTCACTTTATGACCTTCTTGAAAGAGAGGTATCGGCAAGTTTTTAGAAAAAAATGGAACTGTGTTGTCTTACACAGTGTGATTATTACAAAGTTAACAAAATGGGCAAGACATTTGGGTTTTATTCAGTAGCGGAGAGAGGCACATATCTTTTTGTTTTTTTCGATGAAAAAATATAATTTCAGCTAACATGTGTGAGTGGATATCAGTCAGTGACAATACAGTATCTGTCACCTGTTAACATGTTACACTAACTTGACATTATTAACTTTTTTCACTTTTTTATTCATAGACAAAAACATACATACGTCGTACATAGTAATACAAAGACACATTTACACAAAAACACTTACATCACACATACAGACAGACAGACGTACGTACCTACGCATTGTACATACATACTGTACATCCATACATACAACCATTTACCTAGCATACATACGTGCTTTTAAACAGCATACATGCATTATTAACTTAGTATGATTTCACTGCATATTTCAGGACACGAGGTATGGTAACTGTAGCTGTGTTGCCAGCCGCCTGAATGTGCCTGTGACTGACGAAAATGCCGTGGCTATTTTGGGTAGATGTGAGGATAATTGTACGAACCTTAATATCCTTGCTCCTTGTTTGTACGTTGCGCTCCTGACCATACTACTAAGTGTCACCCCGACATCTATGGCAACGCTAAGGTTTGTTTTGTGTTGTTTGTGTGTCTTACCAACATAATGGCAATAATTATCTCGATTGAGTAGTAGCGCTGTTCATTAAATACACACGTTACTAAGTATTTGAAATAACCGGTACTCTCTATTTGAAATTCGTATAGTTTAGGAGTTGGATATACCACCCTTTGGTTTCTACAGTAGTTTAGTCCAATTTGGATGTCCACGTTACGAGTCGTAGAAGGAAGAAACATCTAGCTGTATAGTGCAGTGTAATTCATTTTTGGCAAACTGTATCTATTACTAAGTGTTAGATGCAATCACATATATTTGTATTATGTCCATCTTTCTGTAAGACAGTTCTTAAAAAGCAACTGTTATGGAAATAAAAAACTACCTTGCTATGGAACTTTGTAGAGATATCGACCTTTGTTAGAATCAAACATTAGTTTCTGCATAATGCAAATTCTAATGCTGTTTTTGTCGTTATTTTATTTTGCAATGATGTTGGTGATGAATTTACAACATCACTTCTGACGATTGTGCTGTGTTTTGAGCGTACCACTAATTATGCGTTGCACGATAAGACATTATACATAATTTCTATATAACTTTGACTAATTGCAGGTGTGTTGACGAGGATCACAGATCGTTTGCAATTGGGCTTCAGTGGCTATTTCTAAGATTATTAGGTAAAGCATCATTATTTAACAATTATAGAATACCAGTTTATATGAATATGATGTTTTTATAACCAGAGGCTATAGAATTCATTATTTGTATATTTGATTTTAAATTTGAAATCGCTTATGTGTTCATGCTTACCAGATTTGTTTTTAGAAGGAAACAATCTCAGCTGCAGTCCAATTGATAGACAAATAATTGAACGATTTGTTTTTACTGATTACCACATTTTTAGCACACCTACTCGAAGGGCAAGTGAGCCTATGTCATGGTGCGGCGTCCGTCGTCCGTCAACTTTTCCTTTAAACAACTTCTTCTGAGGAACGAACAGGTATAGAGCCATGATATTTGACTGAAAGATTCGTTGGTAGGAGCCCGACAAAGTTTGAGAACGAACATGACCTTGACCTACTTTCATTGTCACATGGGTCAAATGTGTCAAACACTTCAAACGACTACTTTTGAAGAACTGAATGGTATACAAATCTTCAAATTTGGCTGGTGGCTTCCTGGGATAGAGCCCAACAAAGTTTGGGAATGAAAATGACTTTGACCTACTTTCAAGTTCTCAGCGGTCAAATATGTCAAACGCTTCAAACGAATTCTTCTGAAGAAATAAAAGGTATAGAATCTTCATATTTGGCAGGTGGATTCCTAGGATAGAGCCCGACAAAGTTTAAGAATGAAATTGACCTTGACTTACTTTCAAGGTCACAGAGGTCAAATATGTCAAACTCTTTTAACGACTTCTTCTGAAGAACTGAAAGGTATAGAGTCTTTATATTTGGCTGGTGGCTTCCTGGGATAGAGCCCGACAAACGCTTCAAACGACGTCCTCTGAAGAACTAAAAAGTATAGAATCTTCATATTTGGCTGGTGTCTTCCTGAGATAGAGCCCAACAATGTGTGAGAATGAAAATGATCTAGACTTACTTTCAATGTCACAGAGGTCAAATATGTCAAACTCTTTAAACGACTTCTTCTGAATAATCGAAAGGCATAAAATTATAATATTTGGCTGGTGGCTTCCTGGGATAAAGCTCACCAAAGTTTGTAAATGAAAATAACCTCAACCTACTTTAAAGGTCACAGAGGTCAACAACATTTCAAAGGATTTGTTCTGAAGAACCAAATGGAATGGATTCATAAGATTTGGCTAGTAGCTTTTTGGGATAGAGCTAACAAAGTTTGATAAGGAAAATGACATTGACCTAATTACAAGATCAGAGGGAAAAATATGTCAAACAACTTCTGAAGAAGAACCAAAAAGCATAGAATCTTATAATAATATTTGGCTGGTAGTTTCAACAGATGGAGCCGACAACGTTTGCGAGGGAAATATTTGTAGTGCAATATAGTATTTAATGAGAATATTTTGCTATGACTGCTTAAATATTCAGGTGAGCGATACCGGCCCTCGGGGCCTCTTGTTTAATTATGATGATGATGATGAAACACACTTTTCATGATTTATTTCCAGAACATGTAGACAACAGAATTTACACATACGCATCATGCATATGTATATTGTATAATAATATTAAATGAACATATTTTGTGATTTAGATATGTATTTTGTACTAATTGAACTCAATCTATGTATAGGTTTGATCCCGGGACCTCTGTTGGTGGGCGCTGTCCTTGATGGCACGTGTGAGATTTGGACGGAGGTGCCTTGTAGCGACAGCAGATTCTGTATGATGTATGACCTATCGCGCATGTCCTCGGGAATAATGATTTGGTGGGTCGTCATTTCCGTCCTGACAGCCATCTTCTATCTTGCAGCTTCACTATTTGCTTCAAGGAATAAAAACAATTTTGCCCTAGATTCTAAATAAAAGTATCAATATGGTACTTGTCTGTATTATGCTATGCATTATCAATCAGAAGTGACTGAAATGAATGTTTGAAATAATAAAAGACAATAAAACAACAAATGCATTCACTACTACGTCGAAAATCAGTATGGCGTTATGATGTCAACGTTTAAATGAAGGTTGTGACCTGTAGAAGAACCTGATAAAAAACGCTTCCCATCTTACACTTGATGTTTTTACGTATAATGTTGAACCAACACCTCACTTTCCAGTGCCTCTGAAAGGATGAAAACTGAAGTAGCTGTGGCAGAAATGTATATCATGTTTTACTTCTGATAAAAAAAAATTCATGTCTTTTTTATTTGCTTTTTAATTATTATTTTTATTTTTATAAACTGAAAGAATGTTTGCTCTCGATTGCAATGCTGTAAATGTTTACTACCTATGTAGAATCCATTTAACGAGAATGGTACAAAAACATAAAAAAGTGAATATCTACAGTTTCGATGAATTAATATTTCTTTTTTTCATGTTACATATTTACACTTATTAAGAAAAAACATAATATTGCCTTGACATAATTGAATTAAATATGTATATATAAGAAGTTTTCTGGACATAAAATGAAAAGAAACGGTCTAAATATTGTATTGTTTGTACATCCCATTTTAATCATAACTCAACATAAGAAATAATACGACAAAATTAAAATCTATGACACTTTCTCTGTTATTTGTCATCACATTGTGGAATAACGTCTAAAAAATACAACTTTTTAATGTTACATATTTGATATGATGTTGATTTTTTCACTGCGAAACTTAGCGCTTGCATACGTATACCTTGAAACAAGAGGTACGTAAGATTGAAATACGAGGTGATGCTATTAATTCGAAATAGGAAATACAAGTTCAAAACACTCTCAAATTTAATTCTAAAACATGTTGCTCATTTTCAAACTTAATATACTAAAAACAACTTAAGTTTTATTACATTAATATTTTTGTTAAGGATTTCGGGGTCAGTCGATCGCAGATTGAACGATCCCTGAATACCTCTTGATGTTTAACACTAATCAGGATAATGTCGTACAGCATTGTAAGGTTATATTGTTATCAGTTCAAAGCTCATGTAAAGGTCATGACCTGTACGGTTATCAATGAAAATCAGACATAATATTAATCCCACATGATTTAATCGTGTGGGAATATTGTTATATTTTAGCCAGTGTATTGCTTGTGTTTCCAATATCTCTGAAAGAAAATAACCTGTTAGGGGTGAAATGTACATATTTCTTATCTTACCGTTGACTTTGATAGGATGCTTGTTTAAACGTATGCTATTGTGATTGTAAATTACAAATGTAAGATGCATTCAACGAAACTTGTATAAAAATAAACTATAAAATCGATGAAAACATTTTTGTTTTAATTGCTGTTAACAGTTTGATAAAACAAATCATCTTATTATTGTCAAAAATTATATTGATCACATCATAAGTAAAATATATCCAGCATTATATATATTATTAAATATTCATGTATTTATTATAAATAAAAAAAATTGACAATCTTACTGTTAAATAAAATCACGGTTCGGAATGATGTCATGACAAAAAAGATAATGTTTTATATGATTATGATATCCTCTGAACACAAAATGCAACTCTTAGCATTTGCTTTTCAATAAGAGTTGCATGTTAGATAAAAGATTATAACCAGCTCCTGCTAGTATTGTAACCGTAGCTTATTTGTATCGTTAATATCTACTGTTTGTATCCTTCAGTTTTGTGTCTAATTTCTATTCATCCAGATACTAACGTTAAATAGTACAGTTTAATGGGAATAGTCCTCAAATCATTAATCCTACGGACGGTTCCGAAAGAGGCCATATCTCCACCAGATATAAGCACTGTTTTATATAAATATGATAAGTATTCACATATTTTTCTGCCAAACATGAATCACTTGACGTCCAGTTTTAAATGATATATATTGCAAGCATCGAGGGCGTGGCTTCATTACTTAAAGGACAGGATTCCATAACTAGCAGATTTGATATTATTCCTTAGAGGTCGTGATTTCATCTCTAGATAGTGTGATTTCATTCCATCGAGGGCGTGTTTCAAACCCAAGATGAATCAATTTTATTACGTAGGAGGCACGTATGGAATTCTTCAGAATGTAGCTCCATTCATGAAAGGGCGAGTTTCCAGCTCAAAAGTGTGTGAGCTCATTATTTTTAGGACTTGAATTCAACCCTAGAGGATGTGCCTTCATTATTTAGAATTGGAGGGCGTGGTTCTAACAATAGACGATATCGCTTCATCCCTAGAGGATGTGCTTTCATTGTTTAGAATTGGAGGGCGTGGTTCTAACAATAGACGATATAGCTTCATACCTAGAGGACGTGTTTTCATTGTTTAGAATTGGAGGGCGTGGTTCTAACAATAGACGATGTAGCTTCATCCCTAGAGGACGTGCCTTCATTGTTTAGAATTGGAGGGCGTGGTTCTAACTAGACGATATAGTTTCATCCCTAGAGGATGTGCTTTCATTGTTTAGAATTGGAGGGCGTGGTTCTAACAATAGACGATATAGCGTCATCCCTAGAAGATGTGCCTTCATTGTTTAGAATTGGACGAGGGCGTGGTTCTAACAATAGACGATATAGCTTCATCTCTAGAGGTTGCCATTCTTCCCGTAGGCAGTATACGTGACTAACTTCCTTCTAGGGCGTAATTCCAATCGTACAATGCGATACATGTATATTCAATATTTGGCATGTTTCCAAACGCGTTTGGAATGACATCACATCATTCCTTCCTGGGCGTGATTCAAATCGAAGAGATTGTTCTTTCCAATTGAAGCGGTGTGATTATCAGTTATAGAAGCTGTTATCTGTAGGGTTGGCTTTTAAACAATAATATCGGCTTTTCTGAGTTACACACCAACCACGTATGGTTTCTACGGGTTTTAATATGTTTTACTGTTTATTTGCTTTTAAGACTTTAAAAGTTGTGTATTTAAACATCTTTACATAATACCATGAATTATAAGTGGGTTATAGTGTCCTTCCTATCTGGATTTCCATTCGTTGTCCCATTATGTGTGTCGCGTTCTACGCCGTTGTTTGTTGTCTTCCCGTCGGCACTTGACTGATACCCATTGTTATATTCCAATTTGATTTCTTTTTCTGAGGAAACATTTTTGTTGTTGTACATGACGCTGGCAATGAAGAAAGCGACGGCACTAAACAGCTTGACTGCAATCCACCACAGGAATAGACGCCATCCCATCTCGTATCTGTCGTACACATAACAAGAACCCTTGGCTCCACATAAATCCTGCCAAAGTGCGCATGACGAGTCTATCACAAACCCTGTTAGTACAGGCCCGGGTATTGTACCTGTCGGACATAGTAAAATAAAATCATACTGTTTTTCAGTAATAATGTTAAAACTTTGTTTCAGGTGTCTACAATTCCAATAGAGGATGTTGCAAAATAAACCAGTTTTAAAGATGGTTACGTGGTATTGATATTCCGTCTTTTTGTATTGCAGAGGTATCTGCTCTTGTGAGCAGGTATTGATTGTTACGTCATTTGTTTGTGAGAGTAACGTCATAATTGTTTGAGACATCGACGTAATTTTCTCACACAAACTAATGACATTACAATCAATAACTGCTCACCTGCAATACGAAAAGACGGAATAGTACATTATACACTTTACCTGTTAATAATTAGTGCTAACGTCTCCATTGATAATTGTGTTATCTAACCATTCCTAAGTGTTGTCAATGTACAAATTCTTATCTTCCTTTCAAATGTGTCATCATTTCGTAAAGTCTCTAACCTTATTTTTGCCCTCAAATCAGTTGGGAGAGTGCTTCATTTCACAATAGTAACACAAATCCCTAATGTTTCTGTTTCTTTAAAATATATCAATTTAATATGAAACCGAAATAAATGGCCGTTTATATCTTATCTGGACAGTTTGCCTCCGCCAACATTTGATCATGCAATACATAGTTAAATATTAACAAATATTGATAAATGTTAATTGATCGGCTATTAAACAGACAACAAAACTGTTGAGGGGATTGCATGAATCGATCCTAGAAGTAATATAACAGTAAGGATCTTGCTGATTTTAAACATATGTAGTTGTATCACCTCCTTTCTGTATATGTTCCAAATGATGTGTCATATCCATAATGGTGCAATAGCATAAAGATATTCGACGTTGTTATTATTTAATTATCACATTTGTATATGTTACCGTCCAGCTGACCTGCTTACAAAAATATGACATAAAAAAGATATGACAGAATACATGTAAAGCAATCTTACCCAGCAAACGGAGTGCAACCCACTGGAGCCCTAGACCTAATGCTCTGTGTTCATCGGGGACACATCTGCAAATGATCAGGAAAAATACACTGTAACGTTAGTATGAATCTGAAATACATGTACATTTGTGTATAGGCAGTAATTAGGACGTGAACGTATTCGTAAGTGTTTTATTTTTATAAATTATACATGAGATAAATTAACTCCCTTCAGAATTTGTTTTACTTAGTCAATAGATTGTGAAGGATTCCATTTATATTGCTATTAACTTACCTCAGAATGTTAGTGACACACTTGAGGAGGTTAATGACAACATTAGCAAGTTAGTTGCTCACATCAAGATGTAAGTGATTCACCTACGGCTGTTATTTGCTCACCATACGCCACTGACTAACCTCATGTCAATGTTGACTCTGAGTGTAGTAGTGGCTGCCCTCATACTTAAGGGGACTCACCTCATGTCATCAGAGACTCGCTTTAAGATTTTAATGACACCATTATGTAGATAATTACTCACCTACAGATGTAGTTTGCTCACCATATATTACCTCATGTCAATTTTGACTTTGAGTGTAGTAGTGGTTACCCTCATACTTAAGGGGACTAACATCAGGTTGTAAGGGACTCACTTCGAGATGTTAGTATCTCACTTGAACACATCAATCGTAATTATCGTACGTAAATTGACTCGCCTGACGTTGTTTCTCACTTACCTTAGGATGGCTATAGAGGCCGGAGTGACTGTGGTAAGTGTCAACAGCATACCGATAAGGAGGAGGATTATGAAGGCGTACATTAGGTCACATGTTTGTCCACACTCTCCAGACTTGGCGGAGGGGTCAAGGGTCACACCAGTGGAGTTCAGCCGATCATTGATACACTCGCAAAAAGCAAATGTCTGCAAAATTGAACCAATGTTTGACATGTTATCAGCCATGATTTGCTGTTGTCTAGTGTTGTTTTTGTAAATCACTCGGAATAATCAAGTTTTCAAGCGAGTAGTGAACGGTATACATTGGTAGCATATCTTATTATTACTATCCAGATTGTTCGCAATTGTTTGAGACCATACACTATTTGCCTAATCATTTTTAAGGGGGCAGGAGGGTGCATGTGACCTCCGTATCCTTGCCGTAAATTAGGCTCCTGTGGCACCTGCAACGGGTCGGTCGATCTTAAGGATGTACACCTCTGAGAAGTCAAACATTTCATGTATTAAACTTTTTTTTTTTTTATATGGGTTTTTGGAAAAAGGAGTTAATGGCATAGTAGAAAATGCAAAAAAAAACTATATGTCGGTGTGTTCGTTTTTGTGCTATGATCGGTCAAAGATACCAATTTAACACAACAAATGATTTTAGGTGATTTTTTAGGTTTTGACCATTTGCGGAACAAATTCATACAATTTCTTCCAAGTGTGTTATTAGATACGTATGAATGTTTGTAGAATTGATGAAAATATTATTTCCTTTTAAATTATGTAAGTAAAATTTCTTAATCTTATTCTTTTAACTCAGAACGCCGATTTTAGTTACCCCTACCCCTTATTTTTAAATGAAAAAATACTATTTTTTTACCTTTTTTTGCAGATTAAACGCTAGATATAAAAAGTTCTGGTAATAAACTTTTTTTTAATATTTAATGAATTAAAAGAAAATGGGTTTCTCTTTCTAAAACATCCACAAAAATCGGGGGTCGGTGTACTTCTTTCTTGTCCCATTATCATTTGTGTTATTTTTTACCTTTTTCGGGGTCAAAAATCAAAAGTGCTTCGGTTACACTAAATATGTAAAAAAAAATGTATAATTTTCCAGTTTGTTGCATATTTTTTTTTATCATATTAAACATTATAAAGTTGTACAGCAAAATTGAACCTGCTATAATTAAAAATGGCGACACAATGACAACTTAAGTGATCAATCTAGTGTCAAATAAGGTGAAATTTTCGCCTTTTTTGAAGCCCAAGAAATACACATTAATACACATTTTCAAAATGGCCGCCAAATTGGTATTTTTTTTAAATTCTTGTAAAAAAGGCTTTACAAACAACAGACATCTAGTTTTTTGACATATTTTTTCAGATGCGTGTTTGCTAATAAACTTGATCATAGTTTGTTAAATATTACAAAAACCCGTGACACCAGAGCAAAACGAGACTTGATCGTGATTGAAACCTCAGAAGAGTACATCCTTAACTGTCCCCGACATGTCACTTTTCACCCATTACGTATTTTGTAATTAAAGGTAGACCATCGACTTTGAGTGAATATTTGTATATTCAGATGCGTGTTTGCTAATAAACTTGATCATAACTTGTGACATATTACAAAAACCCTTGACAACAGATCAAAACGAGACTTGAACGTGATTGAAACCTCAGAAGAGTACATCCTTAACTGTCCCCGACATGTCACTTTTCACCCATTACGTATTTTGTAAATAAAAGTAGACCATCGACTTTGAGTGAATATTTTTTCAGATGCGTGTTTGCTAATAAACTTGATCATAACTTGTGACATATTACAAAAACCCGTGACTCCAGATAAAAACGAGACTTGAACGTGATTGAAACCTCAGAAGAGCACATCCTTAACTATCCCCGACATGTCACTTTCACCCATTACGTATTTTGTAATTAAAGGTAGACCATCGACTTTGAGTGAATAACAACTACTTGTAGTAAGACAACATTCTATATTATAATAGACTTTCTAATTTATTTCAATACATATTGTTAATTAAGGATAGATAAATAACGCCTCGAATTCTTGGCAAAAAAGATATTTAAATATACAATAGCTTTTTCACGTCGAGAATTATTACGAAATTGAATATATCGGTAAAACTATTATTTCACGGAGTGTGGACAGTGTGAATTTGATCGTTATATTAAGATTTAACCCACCTTAAGGAATCCGTCCACAGTGTAGTTGTCGTTACAGCCGGCGTGACAGGGGGTGAAATACGTCACTCCGTCCGCCCCACAGATCGGCTCGTACGTGTACTCCCGACAGCCACAGTTAGCGTTACACGACGACTCCAGGTTGTTAGTCGGATTTATCTCCCTAGTAAAGTGGACATTATCTGTGAGATTAAACGTTACAGGACGACTCCAGGTTGTTAGTCAGATTTATCTCCCTAGTAAAGTGGACATTATATGTGAGATTAAACGTTACAGGACGACTTCAGGTTGTTAGTCGGATTTATCTCCCTAGTAAAGTGGACATTATATGTGAGATTAAACGTTACAGGACGACTCCAGGTTGTTAGTCAGATTTATTTCCCTAGTAAAGTGGACATTATTTGTGTGATTAAACGTTACAGGACGACTCCAGGTTGTTAGTCAGATTTATTTCCCTAGTAAAGTGGACATTATCTGTGAGATTTAACGTTACACGACGACTCCAGGTTGTTAATCGGATTAATCTCCCTAGTAAAGTGGACATTATCAGATAGATTAAACGTTACAGGACGACTCCAGATTGTTAGTCGGATTAATCTCCTGAACTCCTCAACTATATCTTGTAACATTACATGACGATGGCAAGATGTGAGTCTGATTTATCTCCCTTTTAGAGTAGACATTAATGTTAAGAGATAAAGTTACACGACGAATCAAGGATGTCAGTCGGGTTTTTTTCTCTCCAGAATAGTAGACATCAAATATGAGTTTAAACACTGCGACACCAGGGTAATAGTAAGATTTATATCCCTAGAAAGAACACATTACCTATGAGTTATAACCGTTACACAAGGATGTTAGTCGGATTTATCTTGTCTTGTCGAATTCCATTTTAAGTATAAAGTTGTAGGAATGACCTTTATTGACTACTTTTAGCTTTATTTTGTTTGTTTAAAGAGGACGTAACGCACACTAGGGAAATTGTACTTTTATAATCATGACAATCAATGTCTTTGAAATCACGACTTTAATATTCACAAAAGAAAAACTACACCAGTAGGAATTGAGGAAACAGCAATGTAAAAGTATATATGAGTAGAAAGTCGATTGACACTATACAAAACTACACCAGTAAGGTACTAATGAGACATCAATATAAAGTAAAACATATCAAGAACCCTGACAAAAAGTGTCCCAGAACAACAAAGTGCCCCAGATCATCTAAGACACGGTGAACAACCTCTTTGTCATGGTAGGCACGCAATTATGACATATATAATCTGATGATGGCTTGGTGAAAGGACAAACAGATCAAAAACACCATTACTTTAAGCAAGCTTTAAATCCGAAAATCAACTTTTATATAAAACTTCCATCAACGTGTTGGCTGGAACGTTACTGCTATTTTTTGTGTCTTCGTTACAGATTAAAATATTTGTGTCTACGTCACCAGTTTAAGAAGGTTTGTGTTACGTCACCAGTTTAAGTAGTTGTGTTTAAGTGACCAGTTTAAGTAGTTGAGTCTACGTCACCAGATTAAGTACCTGTGCCTACGTCACCAGTTAATGTGTGTTTACGTCATAAGTAAAATTATTAGTGTCTTAGCCAGTTTACGTATCTTTGTTTACGTCGCCAGTTTCAGTATTTGTGTCTACTTCACCAGTAAAGTATTTGTGTCTACTTCACATGTTTAAGTATTTGTGTCTACGTCACCAGTAAAGTAGTTGTGTCTACGTCACCAGTTTAAGTATTTGTGTCTACATCGCCAGTTTCAGTAATACTCACCCTCCGGGATAATATGGCTGATTAAGTCCGGCGAATTGGAATTCAGGGCAGTTGATAAAAACTCCCCCTCCCACCGCTGAAGCCAGCACGGATAAAAGTACACACAATCTCAGCATGCCTTTTGCCTCCAACTTAAAACATTTGATGAGAATTCCCCCGAGGATCATACCACCAGCTCCCCCTCCGATCGTCACACCTCCTGAACACAAACATGTTGAAACCCATTATATACTTTTTCCTTTATGGTTACATATCAGTACCGTGGATAATATAAGTATATTACTGAACAGAAGAAGTTTTATCATTGGTATGACATATTTTGTTACCATAGAACATTATAGATAAGTAGCACGGGTTCGTATTAAGGAATGTATTATTACGGTACTGTGACGACCACTCATCACGTGCTCGCAATGAGAAAATTGTTCTCACTACAAAACCTTAAGACACAGTGTAGTATTCTATAAATATAAAATTATTAAAAGAAAGCCGCTTTAATCGTTAATAATATATGTGAAGTAAATGTTATATACATTTAATGCGTAAATTAAATTGTAAAACCGCTGAGTAACATACACACCCATGATGATGCCAGCAGAGGCTGGACTTATGTCGAACTTTTCCTCGAGAATTTTTGGTGCAAAAGCTGAAAGCCCTCCAATTATTAACGTTTCTGCACATGCACCCAGAACCATGCAAATGTAACTTGGATTTTTCAGCTGTAAATGAACATAGAAGTATTGTAAGATTTAAAAGTTTAGAACTATTTAACAAGGTAAGAAAAATACATAAAATGCAAATCAAGGTAACGATAATGTGAATGAATAAATATACAAATAATCAATTGCATACACGTTAAGGTAACAATAAATATAGACACTTTGAGTTTCTGCTTTTGTTTTTGCAAGGAGTTCTTTTTTGTAAAATGAACAGATATACTTATTGACATATGCCCGAATGAAGCTATATATCAAACGATAAATGCTATAGAGTGGGCCAGCTAATGTACAAAGAATCACATGAACAACCCAAAAACACAAGTTCCAACTGCAAACGAAATCTTAGAAACATACCAAATCAAAGCAATCAATTAACGCCAGAATAAAATGACAAAAACAAGATAATCATAAGCATATATATATATACGGGGTAATCATTGGTTGACAAAACTGGTTACCAAGTTTTATTTAAATAATTAAATTTCATAGTTCAGCAGCATTTTATCATTTAAACGTTCTTCCAACAGTTCTTAGAAGCTCCGGATTTTATTGAGACAAAACACTATTGAAGAATATGCAACTACTTACGAGGACCAAGATTGCCTTTGGAAAATCCTTGATCTTCTGCAAAAGTGACCGTTGGTCATTCTTTGCAGCCTCTAGCCGGGCTCGATCTTTTTCTGTTATTCTTGCCTCTCGGATGTGTTCGGTTCCTGTAGGGAAGACATTGCACACGTATGCTATGAACCAGTATGGGTAGTACTGTGGGTTTTTGTCCCTGCTGCCATGTATCAACGTTCAATGTTAATTCTAGGGAATTGAATGACAGCTCTACTAAACCGGTTTGATTTGGTTTGTTTGTGTTTTACGTCCTTTTAAAAGCAATGGCCATTTAAGGACGTGCCAGGTTTTGGTGGTGGAGGAAAGCCGGAGTTCCCGGAGAAAAACCACCGACCTACAGCCAGTAGCTGCCGACTGCCCCACGTAGGTCTTGAACCCGCGACCCAGTGGCGGAGGGCTAGTAGTAGAAGAATGTCAGACGCCTTAACCACTTGGCCACCGCGGACAACGTTCGGATCAGTACCGTGTATAATATAAGTATACTGCTGTACAGAAGAAGTGTTATCATTAGTATGGTGGATTTTGTTACCATATAACTTTATAGTTCATGTAGCACGAGTTCGTATCAAGGAATGTATTATTACGGTAGTGTGACGACCACTGGGTGCTTGTGAACTACAAATGGAAATATAACATTTGATATGACAAGTGCAGCAAATTACTTAGAACCTTCGTTCATTATCAGATACGTAACTAATCATTGTCTTGAAATGTGAACCACATGGAAAATCTTTCTGATTGGTCCGTCATGGCTGTGCAATATCCTGGTGGTTAGTTCTACTACATAATATACTTGAACCTAGAATGAAATTATTAAGAAATAACACCTGACGCATTATTTCGACAGACGATAATCTGAGATACCTTTTGAGTTTAACATAATACAATCAATGAAATATAAAACTTTTTAAAATGCAGTGTATGGGGTATAATCAATCGCTTTTAAAACGTTTTTAGATATATTGAAAATGCACTTGATATGACGAAAGTTGAAGAAGAATCGGAATTCAACAGTTCCTCACCCCGTGTTATGTNGGGGGGGGGGGTCATGATAAATGTCTCTATTACACAGATAAGGTACAGAATAACATGTAGTTGCCAAATACAATTCAAACGGAAAAAATCACGAAAAGGTATTTAAAGTCACAACATAGATACATGTGATGCAAAGTGTGATACATATATGAAGTGTCGAGAAAAAGTTGCCATGCTATTCAATCTAAACAGAGGCAACACCTGTTTCGTTCTGTTGCCAAATAGTGAAATTTTGGTAGATGTGTCTTCGTTTCTGCAATCAAATGTATTTTTATATAATTAAAATTTGTGAAAGAGGCTACAACTTCTAATGTTTCGCATTTTGAAGACTTGTATCAGCAGGGTCTGGTAATGTAAAATACAGATATTTTTACATGAATCTGATCAAACATATATCATCTGACCCTCAATTGTAACTATGTAACCTGTCGTATCTTCCAAACATTTAAACTTATTCTTGCATGCTTTATATATGCATACAACCTCTAACCATAGCGTCTCACATGAACCCAATCAAATTCCATCTATTGTGACTAGACTTATACAGGACTTTCATGGCGTCTAAGCGAACAGACTGGAAGGTTGATAAGTTATTTAGCCAATAGAGTTTGGTTGAGTGGTGGATATTTTCAGGAAATTTAATTGTATTTAAACAAACTTCATAGTGTAAAAGGTCAAAGAGACTTACCAGAATATTTCAATAAAGGGATAAAAGGTCAAAAAAACTAACCTGGAAGGTTAATCGGGTATCCTAGTACCGGAAGTGCGAACAGGAAGAACAGGATCGCAGTGATGATGAAACCCACCCACCATGCACCAATCCAGACAGAGTCCATAGGGGTAAACCCCTCGTACACCCTGTGTTTGTAAATGAGCAAATATAGTTAGTCATAGAAGAAATCAAAATTGTTTAATATTCCTGAAGTCAGGGTTAATCTTCTGTTAACAGCATTCCTCAATATTGTTTCGTTAAGGTTTATTGTATTTAGTAATGATCTAAAAAACTGTTGTAAGGATGTATTTTTCTTTCATTCATTTGATTCTTCTATGACGTAAAAGAGTCCATGGCCTTCCAGAGGCAAGGTTATGTTAGTTTGTTTGTTTCCAGATGTACCATGTCCTAAAGAAATTAATAGCATGAAACGTGCATAGAGAACATCAGCTTGAAACGTCTCAACTCGAACTTAAAGTACCACAGGATGGTATACAGAGTTTAAGGATCCCTGCCCCACTGCGTCATTGTTTTTATTAAATAAAGTAACTTCCCTTTAACTTCCGTTTGAATATAACTGAAGCGAAGTTGGGTCAGGACACATCTGTTGACCAGGTCCAGGGTTCGAATCCCGGTCTAGCCCCGCTGATTTGTGTTTTTCACACTCAAAACAGTGTTGTCGATTAAGTTTTGTTAATTTGGTCTTTGTTATTTCTCATTAAGTCCCGCAAGGTAAAGTTTTCTTTACAGGATTTTTTCACCAAAGCTATCGTCATGCCGGAAAAACATTTCCGAAATTTCGTTACAGTTTTGGCAATGGTACAGGGATCCTTAACGGCTGTTACTACATTACTAAGACTATGTACATACGTTTTGTCCACTCTGTTAAAGTCTATCCACAGATTAAGGAACTGTCCCCCGCCGATAAACCCTGCGGCCACACCCAGTGCAGTGACGGCGTAGATCATACCTGAGGGAGTAGTTTTTCTATTAGGATAGTAATATGACATGTCAAAAATAACCTTTGTGTGAAACTTATCATAATATTTTTCTATCTTCTATCAGTTTTGTTATTTCTAATTTTAGCGAAATTATCAGCAATTTAGCCTTAATAAATAATGTACTTAATATAACGATTAGGTTATATATATTAGTCGTCAATGGTCATTAATATATAATAATAGTAATGTTCAATACTTGATGTTAGTACATCATTAAAACAAAATTATTGTGTTGGAGTCGTTTTCAATATTTCTAATTTTTATATATTATATGAATATATATTTTTGCAAAACAGTTTTACTATATCAAAATATCTGACATAAATTGTAAAACCACACAGCCTATTTATTAGAGCATCCAGTAAAAACATATTTTACCTCTGAAAATATACGTGATCATTTTCAAATATTAAATACTTTTTCCTACCTAGCGTTGTTCTTAATCACGTCACAAGATACGAAAATAGCAAATGAATTAACCAATGAACTGACATCACAGCAAAGCAAAGCAATTTAAATTATAAACATTCGTTTTTATCAGCAATGTTTTGTAGCTAAACAATGTGTGGTCTTTATAAAACAATTACAGCAAATACGTGTGTTTGTTGGTGTAACATTCATCTTAAGGTAAATGGCTGTAGATTGGTAAATACGTTTTTTTATTGGTGAAGCATTCGTACCAAGGTAAATGGCTGTTGATTGGTAAATACGTGTGTTTATTGGTGTTACATTCATACCAAGGTAAATGGCTGTAGATTGGTTAATACGTATGTTTATTGGTGTAACATTAATACCAAGGTAAATGGCTGTAGATTGGTTAATACGTGTGTTTATTGGTGTAACATTCGTACCAAGGTAAATGGCTGTAGATTGGTAAATACGTGTATCTATTGGCGTAACATTCATACCAAGGTAGATGGCTGTAGATTGGTAAATACGTGTGTTTATTGGTGAAGCATTCGTACCAAGGTAAATGGCTGTTGATTGGTAAATACGTGTGTTTATTGGTGTAACATTCAAACCAAGGTAAATGGCTGTAGATTGGTAAATACGGGTGTTTATTGGTGTAACATTCATACCAAGGTAGATGGCTGTAGATTGGTAAATACGTGTGTTTATTGGTGTTACATTCATACCAAGGTAAATGGCTGTGGATTGGTAAATACGTGTATCTATTGGTGTAACATCCATACCAAGGTAAATGGCTGGAGATTGGTAAATACGTGTGTTTATTGGTGTAACATTCAAACCAAGGTAAATGGCTGTAGATTGGTAAATACGGGTGTTTATTGGTGTAACATCCATACCAAGGTAAATGGCTGTAGATTGGTTAATACGTGTGTTTATTGGTGTAACATTCATACCAAGGCAGTTGGCTGTAGATTGGTAAATACGTGTGTTTATTGGTGAAGCATTCGTAGCAAGGTAAATGGCTGTAGATTGGTAAATACGGGTGTTTATTGGTGTAACATTCATACCAAGGTAAATTGCTGTAGATTGGTAAATACGTGTGTTTATTGGTGTTATATTCATACCAAGGTAAATGGCTGTGGATTGGTAAATACGTGTGTTTATTGGTGTAACATTCAAACCAAGGTAAATGGCTGTAGATTGGTAAATACGTCTGTTTATTGGTGTAACATCCATACCAAGGTAAATGGCTGGAGATTGGTAAATACGTGTGTTTATTGGTGTAACATTCATACCAAGGCAGTTGGCTGTAGATTGGTAAATACGTGTGTTTATTGGTGAAGCATTCGTAGCAAGGTAAATGGCTGTAGATTGGTAAATACGTGTATCTATTGGTGTTACATTCATACCAAGGTAGATGGCTGTAGATTGGTAAATACGTGTATCTATTGGTGTTACATTCATACCAAGGTAGATGGCTGTAGATTCAGTTTTGGCGTTGTCGTCAACATACGCTGTTCCAAGGGTGAAGAATGGCGTGAAGCCAATACCATGTACAAACTGGGCTAACATGAAAATGTACAGGAAGCCAGATGTTTCACCGGAAGTCTGTGTTGCGCATGGGTCGGGGCTATTGGGATCACATATAGCCGTGCCATTTCCGCCAGCCTCTGGACAATATTAATCGTCACATAACAAAAAACGGTAAAAATAGAATTGAAGATAGAAATATCTGAAAAGATGGGGTTTACTCGCTCAACGTTTCATTTTACTTTTGCTTATATAAACCAAAGACTTTTGATATCAAGGGATATTAAGTGTATTTGAAACTTAAAACACTAATGTCACTCTAGTAAACGCAAACAACTACTTCCTTAAATTTGAAGTGAGCCTGTATGACCCAAGCTTAATCGTTATTGTACACGACAATTCAAACAGCCGCCATTTTTCTGTCCTGATACTTGTTGTTTAGCACCACTATATCTACATAATGACGATACCGTCCACGTGAAAAGTGAGATATTTTAATATAGATAAACAAATTATATTACATCGTATAAACACTGTAAAGTATAGTTTTGCTGTTAAAAACTGTTTACCTGAATGATGCACGCGCGTGTATTCTATAATATTTATTCCACGTAATCAAGTCCTCTCATAGAATAATCTGGGGATCACTTTCAATTTATAATACACTGTTCTCATTACTACTAGGTCTACTCTATTGACCTTTAAATTTGAGAAAGACTGGAAGAAATTTTGAAACTTGTTTGTATGCGAAAATATATATATAATATATATATACTTAATACAGTTGTATTCTACATAGTATAATCATAAGTTACGATTATCGTAAGTTAATTCGTAAGTCAGTTTCACGAAAGTAGTCGTACGTGAAAAAAAATTCGTAAGACAAACCTTAAGATTTTTGTTTACGAGCGCACTTACGATTTGACTTACGATATAAAGCTTCCTTGACAACGACTGCGCAAAACGTAAACAACAACATTGAGAAAAAAGACATAACAAGGAAGCCAAATTGGTCTAACGACGAGATAGAGGCCTTGGCCCAAGCAGTGGCGTGCAATATCAAGGTTGTGAAGGGGAAGTTTACGCCTTCACTAACATGTGACATGAAAAACAAGTGTTGGTTGGAGATAACCTCACTGTAAGTACAATACAGAAGATACGTACGTACGTACGGACCCCTATTCACAGCATTTTTCCGAAATATTTAGACTCCCATTAAAAATGTTTGACGGGACAGAAACCCACCAATTATATTAAATGAAGAGTCAGTTATTTTGGACTAACCCCCCTTTTTATACATTTATTATGAAATAAATACGTAATTAAGTTAATCATTACCTATAGATGAAATGTCGTATGTATCTCCGAAGATATGAGGGATGATAAAAATCAACGACCCGAACATCATCACCAGGGTGCCCCCACCCAACCAGCGAGGGCGATGACCTTTTGACCCCAGGTAACTGACGAGGAGGACAAAGATGATGGCGCCAATGTCCGTTGAGCTGACGATTAAGCCAGCTTGGGAGCTCGAGAGGTTAAAGCGTTTCTCCAAGGTAGTTAAGATAATATTCACGATGCCGTTGACAGCAGCGCCCTCTACGAACCCAATCAAGCACATCCATACTACATAAAACTGTATCTTGGTGAAACGCTTGGAACATCTGCAGAAGAGTAAGTTCAATACATAAATATAGGTAAATTGGTTATATCAATATTGAAATTTGATTCTAGCTCATTGCTATCATCATCATTCTTAAATTATATATGGACGACAAACTCACTCAAAGGGAAATAATGTCAATAGCTACAAACCTTCTGGAAGAAGGTATAAACATTGTTGATGAAGCCTTAAGTTTAACGCGTGCTGAACCAAAAAGGCTCTACTCAATTCCACTAAATAATGCTCTACCCACTTAAACTTAATAATACTCTTTTCACTTCCACTAAATAATTTTCTACTCACTTCCACTAAATAATGTTCTACCCACTTAAACTAAATAATGTTTTACTCAATTTAACCAAATCATGTTCTACTCACTTCCACTAAATAATGCTTTACCCACTTAAACTTAATAATGCTCTACTCAATTCAAGCAAATCATGTTCTACTCACTTCCACTAAATAATGTTCTACCCACTTCCACTAAATAATGCTCTACCCACTTAAACTAAATAATGCTCTGCTCAATTTAACCAAATCGTGTTCCACGTACTTCAATGGTCCGTATCCACAGGCTAAATCTCTATCGTCTTTTCCACTCTTAGTGCAGGGACCGGAACGCTAAAGAAAACAGTAAAATGTTAGTCAAACATTATCTTTTAGAAACAATATGAAATGTACATATTGTTTCTTTCGATAAAGATTAAAAGGGTTTTTGTTTCTTTCATTTTCATACCCATTGCATTTTTTTTGTCTTTTTCGTATCTTTGAATCTTTTGTTTTACCTGACATAACTTTGGAATAATTTTTTGCATGTTATTTCTATAATGTTTTACATAAGTGTAAACCGAAGAAAAGTCTTGTAAGCTTTACTTATAGTAAAAGTACAAACAGGGGGTGTCTACTAAGTATTAAAGAACGGTTCAACCGTAAGGGAAGTGAACGGTTGTCATGTGATCCCCTACATTGTTCAGGTCACCACTGTCCAGGTCTGAGAATGCCTTGTTGTCGAAGCCGCTGTAAGTCTTCCTGTCCTACAACAAGGCAATAAGACAGGTATCACTGCAGCCATATACAGTTATACACTCATATTGCATACATGTACAAAGAGGGTATTTTATGATATTTATTTGAATCACAAAACTATTTCACAAGTATGGCAGAATACCAATACTTTCCACGAGTGGAAATCCAATGACAAACCAGTTTTATCTTTGACCATGCTTTGAGCATTTCCACGTCTACTTGGTCTTTTTATGAATCACTTCTTATCAGATAGTTTTTTGTCTTTTCATTAAGCGAAGGATGAACCATCTATAAAAACAACTGTCAGTATTTTGTTTATCAAGTTCGTCCTTATATCATAAGGATAGCATATATTTATGTTTGGTGTATTTGATGACTAAAATGTCTTTTCGATATGTAAATGCTATACATAAAAACTTTAACAAAAGAAAAACATGAATAAAAAATCTTTAATATAACATGCAATCATACTTATAAAGATTATTACAAAGACTATTTAACTGGAGGTATTCTAGAATTTCCAGTCAATCTCATAATAAATCGTGACTTTCTAAAGCTAAAGAAATGAAGTATATTTTAACATATTGTATTAGAGAAAAAATATGAAAATATATATAACAGTTCTCCAATGTAATATACACATGTAGAAATATTCAAGAAATAGAGTGTTTTACTAACGAAAACACAGTTTTAAAAAATCCAGTATGAAAATAACACAAATACGAATCCTGATGGTTTTGTCACGACACACAAATACGAACCCCCCTGGTTATTTACTAATGTAGATAATATTACCAGTGATATAATCAAATGATGCCATCAGATCCCTAACAGGTGTAAGATATACAACACAACGGCAGTAAATATATAATCGTAGATTATACAAGGTTCGAATATGATAGATCTCGACCTTAGTATATCTATGACTAATAACACCTACAACCATACACTGGTAATGGTGAATAGCGCGTCGCCACGGTAGTACAGGAAATCAATGAAACACATTCCTAGTAAAAGAAGAAGAAGAAGAAGAAGAAGAAGGACGAAGAAGAAAAAGAAGAAGAGAAATATGAAGTATCGACAAACAGAATGTTTGACTCAACTCGACAAAAGAAGTGCAGAAAATGAACACAGGAAATATTTACATGGAGACCCTTGGTAAAACTACTTTGATTTGAAAAGTGTAATGGCTAGTGAATGAACTGCAACGTTTTTAATAGCCATACCGGTGCTTTGTGACATGCACAATTTGTTTAATAGGTATTTAGTTGTCATTCATTATATGGTATTTGTATTTAACAAAAAAAACTAACAGTTGTCTAGTGTCCATTTACAACACTACTGACAAGCTAGTCGATTATAACATGATTATATCATAAAAATTTGTGTTCTACATTCTCCTTGTAATAATGCAATATGATAGGATCATCTGATGATCACATGAGTACTGATTTATAATTTATTCTTGGTTTCCACTGCATATCGTTATATTACTACCCCCTTCCCTATTCCCGCATTTGTTCCGTTTTTCATATTACTTCATTCCCGTAGCCAGGTGTTGAAAACATTGATTATGAAGCAGGTAACAAATTACATATGTGCCATGACTCTTCTTTTTGTTTCTTTTCCTTTTTATATAAAGAAGTTACTATTTTTTATTTCAATGTATTTTTAAAACATATGTATAAAACAAGGGTAAAACCAAACATACCAGGAAAATAAGCCCATGTGTTTAAGAAGGATGAGCGCCTTCTGCTTAATCGATGACATCATAAAAACACGTAATTATGTCCGTATTAATTGGTCAGTAGCACATGAAAATGTTGGGGAAACAAATCTTGTTGTCCATGTTTTCCATTGAAATGATACACAACATTTCTATTAAACATATGTTAAGTTTTAGAATTAACATAAATAACTCTTTCAGCTGTTAAGTACTGATTCTAATAGGTCGCCTTGTCTATGCCCAATCTTTTCAAAATTTTTTTTTGTACAGTCCAATGCATTAAAACTCAATTTTACCTCATAATGTTTTCTGAAACTTTGCAAATAATGTATCAGATTATTTTTATAGATATTATATTGTTAAGACACGCACTTTAAACATCCTAATTTGTATTTGCTTTTCGTGTTGATAGTAAAATTATGGTGTCAAAATAGCAACTACTTGTAGGTTATCCAGTGGCGGATCCAGAGACCTATCTGGGGGGGTTTCCATGTGGGGGAAAATTGAGTTAAATGGTGAAAATACATGATTTGTTTTTATGAAAACTTAAGTGTGATAGTATCACATTTTAGTTTTCATAAAAAATGTTCTTATCAACATTAAATTTAATAATAGCTCAACATGACAACCTTAAATATTCTTTTAAATGATCCTCACGATGCTCCCTATAAAGGCGAATCTTGAAATTTTGCTTCATAATGAAGCCATCGTTTTCCCATGTTTGTTAGCCAAGAGCTACGATCTGATACATCTTAATTCACTTCGGTAGATCGTACCGGGTGGTAAGCTTTTTTGTAGCGAAGAAGGGCTTATGTCAAGCTGAGCATGCAAACAAAAGTTATTGAAGTATCAATTTAACTCAAAATTTGAACTCAAAATCGATAAAACTAGGGCAAAATATAAACAAAGAAAACAATTACAACCTTGATAAATTACAAGGTCAATAAGACCAGGGGTTTCGGAATGGTAAGCGTCGTCTGCTTCATCAATGACACACCATATACATGTAACGGAGTTAGCTCCTCCCAGCGAGAACTCGAGTAGTGGAAAGAAAATCAATAATATCGACCTTCATATATGAGTTCAGATGGTAACGACAGTGCCAATAGCGTATTGCCTATGGTTGTCATCTGAAATCACATGGAAATGTATTGAAATATCTTAGCATAGTTTATGCAGTATTTTGGCTATGTACATCTTAAACAAAAACGGCAAAACAAGAATAAGCTGGTTAAATACGTCCCCCTACAAAACTCGACCAAATCCGACAAGCAATATGAAGCAGGTTTTTTTTAAAGTAGATTTTATTAAGTTGATTTAGATGGTTTGATTGTATTGTGAAGCTACACACTTGCGAGGTCAATATACCAACATATAATTTTAGCTCCGCCTAAATCCCTTGCGTTAATAAATCACTTTTCGATACCATTCTCTAACACTTTATCACTAAACCACATACGTAAACTGCTTTACACGTTTAACACCTCAGTTGTAGAGCTGACTTACAAACTATATTTTAAGCTGATTTCTTATTGGAAGCTACAACTGTATCTGACTACAAATTACAGCTATAGCCTGTTTCTGAAAACAAATTACAGCTTTAGCCTCTTTCCGACTACAACTTATACCTATAGCCTGTTTCTGAAAACAAATTACAGCTTTAGCCTCTTTCTTACTTCAAATTACAGCTGTAGCCTGTTACTGACTACAAATTACAGCTTTAACCTCTTTCTGACTAATAATTACAGCTTTTATCTCTTTCTTATTACAAGTTACAACTTTAGCCTGTTACTGAGTACAAATTACAGCTTTAGCCTCTTTCTGACTAATAATTACAGCTTTTATCTCTTTTTTACTATAAGTTCCAGTTTTAGCCTGTTCCCGAGTACAAATTACAGCTTTAGCCTCATTCTGACTACAAGTTACAGCTTCAATCTCTTTCTGACTTCAAATTACATTTTCAACCTACTTATCAATATGAACTACAACGTAAACATGTATTGTGTAAATATTTAGCCATTCGGTGTAGGTACGATTTGGTTTTCTACATTTTTAAATAGATGCTTTTTTCTTTTACTTCGTATTTCTACAGATTTGTTTACGTCACTCTACCAGTCAATTCTCTCAAAAACTTAAGCATATTCTAAACCATAACTAAAGACTTCATCTAACTACAAATATAGCATGTAGTTATTTCTATTATAATGGTATACCAGCGCGAAAACATCATCATGTAAATTAGGATAGATGGAAAGAAAATAATGCACAACAGTACAGTGTGAAAAGTATCCGAATGAAAGTAAGTTTTAATAACGGACAGTGAATGCAGTTAATACGTTTTACTCATAAACCTCCTTACTCACGGACGGAAACAGATTTCTTTTGTACGTGGTGAATAGAAACAGTTTTAAATGAGTGCCGCCGGAAATCAAAATATTATTGCACTGCACGAGAAATGTGAGGGAAGTAATGAAACCTCATATAATTTGGTATTATAAGTATTTAATATCAAGAGCAGCCGGGAAGTGCTGTCCGGTGGCAGGAAAAGCTCAGATCATTGTCAACTATTTCCAGTAAATTGTGGCAACGGTCCAGAGCGATGATTCATCAAATAAAAAGCATAGTACTTACCTTCATTTTCAAATCCAATATTCTAAAATATCATTCGGAGGTTAAACATTTGTATGTCGATTCCATAAGAAAAACACAAAGATGCGTTCAACTACACACTTTACAAGAAGACTTGCTGGAATGTCTTGGATGTATGTAGAACAATGCCATTGATTGTTTGATGGTTTATGTAAATATAGTCTCACGTCCTTTTCTTTGCTAGCGCTATTAAGTCAAATATGCTTTGAATATTATAGAGCTAAACCGGCTCGGTTTGTAAACAAATGGAGGGGACGGACGATTCCAGCAAATCTGTTAACATGTTTAAATGTTTGATTGACAGAGAGCAAATGTTTACGGGTGGTCACTCTAAAACTGGACAGCGGTCAATGCGTTTCATCATCATAAATGACACTGGCTAATCTGTTTGCGTTGGTGAAACCATGGATAGACAGTTAGGTGGTGTACCTAGCTGTTACTTCAATATCAAGTCGCCGAGAATTATGACAGAAATAATAGCCCATTGACACGTTATACAATGTCAGTATGTTGCTTTATAATTATCTATATAGTGTGTGTATATTATACAATATATATCATCCATACAATGTCAATATGTTCCTTTATAATTATCTATATAGTGTGTGTATATTATACAATATATATCACCCATACAATGTCCATACGTTCCTTTATAATTATCTATATAGTGTGTGTATATTATACAATATATATCATCCATACAATGTCCATATGTTGCTTTATAATTATCTATATAGTGTGTGTATATTATACAATATATATCATCCATACAATGTCAGTATGTTCCTTTATAATTATCTATATAGTGTGTGTATATTATACAATATTTATCATCCATACCATGTCTATATTTTAATTTGTACATTATTTATACAGTGTGGATATTATACAGCGCTCATTATCTATAGAATACAAAGTACACGAACATTTATTATCAGTTAATTCAGTTGAATACTTACTTTATACTTACTTTATCTTAGCCGGCGATAGTCGAAAGCTTCCCGATATCCAGTAGTTGTTTTTTTAAATGAATTAAATGTTGTTTTGTATCCATATACTATCAATAATGAATCAGGTATATTACTCGTAGGATTATTATAGTAATATATCGAATTGTGTAAACGAAAACTGTGGATTAACACGAATACATATATACATTTGGAAATTTTCACACTCAGGCATTATAAAGCATTAGTGTGATATCGATCACCACTAAAGCTGTTACCCATCGAGTGTCATAGTTACCGTGATTATATGATGTTACTACAGTACACATTTGTACACTGTATATTACAACAAGAGGCCCAGGGGGCCTGTATCGCTCACCTGGTTATTTAAGCAATCATGGCACAATATTTACATTTGCTCTGTAATGCCAATTTGTAACCACTTCAGACATGCAGGGAAAGAACTTGGAAGCGTTACTATGGAGACTTTATAATTCATAAATAATTAAGGTTGTTACTATTACTAGCACATTAGTTGGGTTGGAGATAAAAAGTATGTGATGGCTGTTCATTTGTCGAATTGTCTATATAAACAATACCAAACTTTACCCCCTCCCCAAAGGCAAACGAGGGACCTGTGGCACATGAAAATCACAAATTATATAAACCACTCGAAGTATTTCTGTCAAATATGAGCAAATTTCGTTCAAAACATTGGAAGATATGGCCTATTATGTCTACTTCATATATAAACTATACTAAATTTCACCACCTCCTCAGGGGCAAACGGGGGCCCTGAGAGATATGAAAATCACAAATTGTATAAACCACCCAAAGGCCATTACAGCTATGAGTAGTATTTGATTCTAGCATTTCTAGAACTGGAAAGATTTTTGAAATTTCCCTTAATCCCCCCCTTTTCGGCCCCTAACTCAGCCCCCTATGGGGGCAGGGTCACACGATTTATACCAGCAGACCCTCCTCCCCTAATAAGTATTTCTCTTAAATATGAACAAATTATTTTCAAAACAATGGAAGATATGGCCCGTCATGTCTATTTCCTATATAAACTATACTAATGTTTACCCCCTCCTCAGGGGCAAACGGGGGCCCTGGGAGACATGAAAATCACAAATTGTATAAACCACCCAAATGCCTTTACAGCTATGGGTAGTATTTGATCTTAGCATTTTTATAACTAAAGAACAAGATTTCTATCTTATACACTTTTAGCAGCATATTCAAAGAAAAACAACATTCATGTTTTTGTTTTATTATTTAAAATTTAAACAATATGTTTATAGGGAAGTACTTAATCTTAAAAGAAGTTTTCAATATTTTGTTAAAATTAGTATAATTATTAGATGCTTTTAAACTAAGATAGTTTTTTTTTTTTATAAATGTTACCTTAAATTGTAATTTAAAAGATATAGAAGTTTCTTAATTGTTTGTTTGGGGTGTTTTATATTATTTCTTTCCTATCAGAATGTAGTTTATAAACTTTTAGCATGATTTATTGTGTTTTGCGTAGGCCTTGGTAATGGAAAACTCAATTACCTAGACGAATTATTTATTTTTCTCGTAAACGAGCCGACATCTAATTTTCTTAGTTTCATACATGTATTTTACTAAATAATATATTATTAACTTAAAGCAATCCTTCATTGGACAGCTTTTACACCCACATATAACCGTAATGTTGTAAAATATGTCGTAAAATTGCCAAATATATTGAAACAAAAATATCATAGGAAAGGTCATGTCACCAAACCAGTTAACCAGTGAAAATCTAGTTAATCATTATTTTCTTATCGCTGAAGCCAGCCTGTCTTTTTATTGGCTGTAATGTAAGTCGTATGCCAGGTATCGTGTTATCCATAACAGGCGCGGAGCACATGGTGGTTTTCGAGATGATAAATTCGCTCAAGAGTTCCACATTCTTATGAATAACTAATATCCAATAGAAGAAGTAAATATTTCTTTTCAAAGATAACTTTCTTATTTGTTTGTTTGTTTTGTTTTAATTTACAACCAGAATTCTATAAATCAAAATAAAATGCCCTACATAATTTTAAAAAGAATCTTAATTGACGCTGAAATTCTATAAAGAGAAATGCAAAAGCGTCTTAAATGGCTGCGAATACCATATAATGGATATTTTTACCATGGTAGTTTCCTTGACAACCGCTCAGAGAATCTCAAAATATCATGGGGGAAAATTTGACTGGTTGTTAGATCTTAACATCAGGCTTTGGTATGAAGAAACAGTCCAAAAAGACAATCCTTTACATTTTTCGGTATAATGGTATTTTTCTTTTCAAATAACCCCATCCAGATGGATGATAACATCAACAATCAGTGACACTTCGTAGAGACACGCATTACTGACTCATTATAGTGAGAACAAAATAGTAACTGAAAAACCTAATGTTCGATTAAATTGTCTAACAAACGTCGAGTGAATTAAGGTTGACAAACCTGCCCCTCCTGTTGCCCACGCCCCTCCTGCCCGGCCCTCACGACTGGGTGTACACGGTTTGACATGCCGATGTGCTGGAGATGTAGGTAATCTGTGTGTTTCTCAAACTCTGGTTTGACCAGGTCCGCGGACATTGAGTTTATTACTCAATTAAAATTAATGATTTTACAATGGGCATACTGTGAATATGTGTACGTAAAGTGACCGTCCGAATCCTGTTTATAAACTAACAAGTAAATCATGATAGGGGTGCCGGACGATCATAAACTTTTATTAATGTCTTCATTACACCCTTTTGATGTCCAATGCTCGGACACGTTGACCACATCTATGGTCACTTATAAAGTGTCCGCCGCTGTATCACAATTGAGTTTCGTGTACTCCTACGCCTCCGTAATGAAGTGTAACACGATACGTCTTTGTCAAGGACCAAAGAGCCTCACATCACTAAAAATAACCACTGCAAAACAGTTAAAACCTTTTGATTTTGTCGATGTCCATTAGACTGACTTACTGAGGGTGTTCCCAAAAGGCCAGTTCTTGAACTATTGTGGGTTTTTTTAACAAATTTGTTTTATATTTTCTCATCTTTTTCCCATATTCGTATTACAAAGTGAACAGAGGACAATCCTAAGATGCCATCTGTTCGTCCTCGAGTTATTAATACAAGGCGATCATACGGGGGTTGCCGGGATGATACATTCATACTGCTGCAGAAATCTTCACTCAAGAATTCTACATTCCTATGAATAACTGATATCCAACAGAAAAGTACATATTTCTTTTCCGAGACAGTTTTCTCATTTCACCGATATTTTAACAGGCCAACCTTTTTGTAACACTGGTACGAGATTACACGTTTTCTGATGTCCATTTATATAGGGTATCCATGATTCAGTTTCTGTTTTACTAGCTGTAGAGAGCTGCAATGCTCGATCTCTAAAATTACAGTAAAAGGCCCTGGTATCTTTTAAACAGATTTGTAAACAAGAACTGATAGACATTAGGCAATGAACCATTTTATAACATTCAGTATTGTCAAATTCTGTGGAGCATGATTTTCATAATATTGCGTCCGTTCCATGAAAAGCAACGAATTTTTCCGATATTGATTGATATTATTACCAAATGTAACAGTAGAGGGGAAATGCACGGCCAGACCGGGGTTCGAACCCGGGACCCTCCGAACTCTAGACGGATGCTCTACCAATTGAGCTATCTGGTCGCCGACGATCGACCCAGTCCAGTTCCGCTACTTTCCTGCCTCCTTTAACAAAGTCTTTGACCCCGAAGACACATGAGACCCTATACCACCTTCTGTGGGTATATTTCGTTGCACGCCAAATGTAACAGGAGAGGAAAAACTTTATAAATACCCGGATTTATTGATCTGAACTAGAAAAACAGAACATAACTACTTATTTAAACAGAGTCGGGAAATTAGGTAGAACATCATGACATAAACAGGGATTGGAGTATTATCTTGTGTTTAACCTTTTTATTAATAACTATGCCACGTGTTTATACATTACCGCCATAACCACCGATTAAACTGTACTTGTACGCAAAGGAAATACAAATTGATCATCTAAACTCCGTTTTAGATAACCAGTCTCAAAACAGTTGGGTGTTTTTTTGTAAGTGTTCAAAATGTCTCCGCTTTACAACTATGCAATAAGTCCAAAAAACTCCTAGAAAAATCATTTCGATTTTCGTCATTCACATGTTTAACTTTTATTTCAATATATGACAAAACAAAATTAATAAAAAAAAAATATCACATCTATGGTGAAAACGAAATCGATCTTGTTTGTAGCTAGCCCTGAAATGATAATGCGTAACTCTCGACACAACTTTAATATATAAATTATGTATAAATTAATATATAAACGCCAGAGCCGCACACTCGTCTACTGGATAACCGAACTACTCGGTAGTGAAGCGGACGTAAAACCTATTAAAAAACGAAAAAAAACGAGGCTGTCAAACGCTCTAGACCTCGCGGACGGTTTGGGATCAATGGCTAGATAAATATACTCTATTTAAATTTCATCAAAGAAGAGATTATCAAAATAATTAATAGACATAAAACGTATGGATTCGCTTTTAAAATGGAGAAAGCCATTCAAGCTTAATATTTTCCGTATTATGGATCATTTCACAAATTAGAACTCATCTCTGATAAAGAATGAAATCCATACAATTATATAGTTATGTAGAAAAACAGCAAACAGGAGAGAAAGATACCTATAAAATAATATTTATTAACATAAACAATAAAAACTTTTTGCTTCGACGTATCACTTATCTTTAAGCAAATATTTATATTTAACTTTGCCAGAATATTTTAAACAATTTAAAGCGAATTCCAACATGCCAAACTTATATGATATATGACAATAATGTCCACAGACGCCGTACATCAGAGGGATAAGTATATATTTCAGATAGAGGTGTTTGTTTATGTCCAAGTATGTGTATTGCCAGTCTATAAATCTGCCAAGTGTCCGTTCAATGTTCTTACTGAGGATGTTTTGCCTTGGTCAGTTGTATATCATTTGTCCGAGTCTTATATATATATACCTCTATATCAGCTAACAGTCGTAAATATTTTAAAATTCGTCAGCTACCGAAGTGTCACTTCTAGAGTCGGTTTAGAGATGTTTATAAGATGTACGTAAATGTTTGTCGAGGAATAAAGATACTTTTAAAGCATAAAATGTCAATATGGACGTTTGACAGATATCGAGGAACACATGAAACTCGACTCCCGTTGTAAAAAACGCCCTTAAAATATTTACAATTCACTTTAGATGCCATCTTTTATTAGTTATTCAATTGTGATAAAATGGTAAAAGTTGTTTAGCACAGCATGCAAGATGGAGGAGAGCGACTATGTATTGGTTTGACCCCCAATATCCATCAGAAATTAAACGTTTGCAGTTCATGCTTCATTGATTTAATATTTCTCTGATATTGTGATGAAAAAATATTAATGTTTGTATACATGATTTAAAATAATCCCTCCCTTGGTAATAGTTGAAATATACATAACATTGTGTAATTTGAAAACTACATCAATTTTGTATAATTTTTGCACACGGACTGAATGTTCTGTTTTATCTTGGGATTTGCACCAACAACAAGACAATAGAACAATGGAAAAGCATGACTGCATGGCTCGATAATGTATTTCAATGGCTTTTATATATTTTCCTCAGAAAATAAAGTACCTAGCAAAATAATTTACACTAAAACCTGGTTGCACACAAATTTAACTTCAAAATTCTTACGTATTCAGTGGTTGACGTACTCAATATTTTCATTGCGAAAACATAATATAGAGTTATGTGTAATAAATTAACATATTTGAAGCACTCCATTATAAAAGAAAATATCCAAAATTCTGAATTTTCTTTCATCCAACCGATATATTCCCGTTCTTCATTTTTGGAGAAAAAGGGTAAAAAATAGGCCAAATTTAAAAATGGCCTCAATTTGTTTTCCCAAAGGGAATCTTTCAGGACTTTTTTTCTGTCATACTAGAGACATTGATGAGTTGAAATCAGAAGAGTTTGATAACATAGTAATTTTTTCCCCAGGTCACCCTGAAACGGACCTATTCCACCGACCTACAGGTGACAAGGCGTATATCTCAGGGTTTCGATGATGTCAGTTGCTCGCTTGCTGCCCGTACACAACACTGGCCAGCAGAATGATGAGTTGTGTTTTATGGTATTTTTATAAAAATTGGTATATAGGGGTATTAGGAGACTGCGAATTCGATCGCATAGGTATCGTTGCCATATCAACCACACAGACACTTATGATTGGTCGCAATTCAGAAATTGCTCGATTTCACTCAAATTTAGTATGGATATTGTAAGTGTATTATGGCATTGCGTACCTTTTCTGAAGGATATTTGCGACTATGGGGGCAGTTTGGAGGACATCTGTAATTTATTGACACATTCAAGTGTCTCCTTAAAAGTGGAAATCCAATTCTTGCAAATGTCTGTTTCCTTGGAAACCTCTTGAAATTTTAATGGAAAAATGGAAATACAAATCACATGTAGCGCTTATAAAGCTCTCCGAGAAAGTTTAGACCGTGTCAGTTTCAATAAAGCAAAGCTGTAAAACACCAAATGACCCCCTTTTATAAACTGTTCCTTTGCCCTTACGGTCAACAGGATTCCTCCTTTCCAATTTGGTCAATATATAGATTGCTTTAAACCGGATAATCCATGAAGGGAAGTATGCTTTTAAGATTATTATTTTTTGTGTATTAAAATACTATTAATTACATAGAACATCCAGAAAGATGGCAGTATATTTATGAACATAGTGTTTGCGTAACATTTCACTATACGTTTTACAGCAGAGTATTTGGGATTGCATCTTGTATCTTGTATCATGAACTTAGGTATATGTTTGATGGAATCTAAAAGTTATATTTAAGCAGGCCCTTCATCTATTTATCCAAATATGATAATAGTTTGTGGTCCAACACAATAAAATTCATGAAACATAATGAATCTGCTTATTTGAATTGCAAACTTTGGGAGACTTTCTGCAATACCCCATTGGTCAAAGGTTTTTCTTTAAATAACGAAGACTTCGTAGAAGAAAAAAATGTAGTTTTTGGTGTAAGAGCTTTTGATATGTACTTTAGTAAAAGTGACAAATTGTTTGTTTTAATTAAGTATACATTCGTTGGTGTAAAATAAAATATGTATTTGAAAATGTTGTTTTCTCAAATTTTTCGTCTAAATATCATCATTATTATTTGCCCTAATTGCTGAACACTATTATTACTGTAATTGAATTTCTATGAGATGAACAGATCCGAAAAAATTGGTGAATATAGCACGCTTCTTTGAATTTGCCTTTGTCCAGTTGAAATTCATATTGCCTATGAATGCCAACTGAAAGCATTTCAATTCTTAAATAACATGCATCAGCAGATTTACACACTGCTCCTTCGTTATGCCTTCACAGCTTGTATGGACTTATAAAGATAGCTCAAGTATGACGGTTTGTATAGGGCATTACTGCACCTTAGATACACTGTAGTCCGCAAACTTGGTCATAATGGCTCAAAGTTGCAAAGTGTTCAAAAGGGTACTAAAGCTCTCGTTGTCCCTTATTTCTGTTAAATAGGTGATGATAGGTCAACGCGTGCCGAGACTCGTGGTGTGATTGGCTGGAAGGGCAGCCATTCTTTTCGCTAAACCAACCAACACTGCATGTTTCGGCACGCGCTGACCTCAACCTCACTTATATTAGAAAAAGTGGCACGGTGACTGCGAAAAACTCTGAAATGGCGTGTGTTTTTGCAGGAAACGGAGATCATGTCTGCTGAAGGGGAATACATTTTACGTGCATATAAGAGGTTTTTAAAAGAAAAATTATCCATCTTTCCAACGGTACTAAGCATTTTCCCGTAAATCAACTGGAAATGTTGATTTGATGCAAGGAGGTTAGGTGGAGTCGGCCCTTCTCGTATATATGAGTATTGGGGATGTCATTTTTACCGAAAGTCGATCTTTATCCCTAAAATATGTAAAATTACTTTGAACACCTAAGTTCAGCTCCAAACATAGCTGTAACAAATTATCAGGTCCCTGTGGTCTCGGCCTCGGAAATTCATGGATAATACAGTATATGTGTAAGTAAATTCACTTCAGTTGATAATTTCTAGTATTAGAAACATACAGATTAATTCCTTATACCGTCACTATTTTGACCACTGTTCGGACCCATATGAGACATCGAAATATTGTCAGTTTGAGCTTTGTCAGATTGATATCGGCGGCTCGTCAGACGACAGACCGTGTCACTGTTGTAAATATGGTCATATGTAGTTTAAAATTATATCTTTTTAAAACTGCGTATACTTAAGTTAAACAATAAGACAAAGATACAACAATTAAACAACAACCAAAACAGTAGATCTTGCCTTTTTTCACGGCGAGTTTAGTTTAGGCAATGGGAGACAACAAGAACGACAATTAAATTGCTTACAGAAAAATAGGGATTTGGGATTTTTTTAAATAAGTGCCATCAAAAAAACAGGCGTTCATACTTATATTAACAACATATATATATACTACTATTAACCAATCACAGAACCTGTTACAAAGCGCAGAATCAAATTTGGAATTATATAAAAAGTCGGGTTTTTAATACTTTATTATAGTTTAAAATGAGAGCCCAGAACACGGTGGATTGTTTCTGGGGCCTAGTTGATTGTTTCTGGGGCCTAGTAGATTGTTTCTGGGGCCTAGTTGATTGTTTCTGTGGCCTAGTAGATTGTTTCTGTGGCCTAGTAGATTGTTTCTGGGGCCTAGTTGATTGTTTCTGGGGCCTAGTGGATTGTTTATGGGGCCTAGTTGATTGTTTATGGGACCTAGTGGATTGTTTCTGTGGCTTAGTAGATTGTTTCTGGGGCCTAATGGATTGTTTCTGAGGCCTAGTAGATTGTTTCTGTGGCCTAGTTGATTGTTTCTGGGGCCTAGTGGATTGTTTCTGGGGCCTAGTGGATTGTTTCTGTGGCTTAGTAGATTGTTTCTGGGGCCTAGTGGATTGTTTCTGAGGCCTAGTAGATTGTTTCTGGGGCCTAGTATATTGTTTCTGGGGCCTAGTGTGTTGTTTCTTGGGCCTAGTGGATTGTTTCTGGGGCCTAGTGAATTGTTTCTGAGGTCTAGTGGGGTTTTTTCCTATCTATATTTACTCCCATACCCTCCCCCTCCTCCGGCGCTACGCGCCACGGACGCTCGACCCTCAGTACGCATAGACTATGAAAAAGTATTTGCTACGCCACTGTCCCTGGTCATGGACCCTTGCCCTTTCCCCGTATCCCCTTTTCTGTGGGAAGGGATATACTCCTCCTTTGAGCACACAACGGCATGAAGCATACGGCAACATGAAGTTAAAAAAAACATTTACAAAAAAACCTGCATCAACTCTTTTTCTAGCAAAATACACTGTTTCAAGTTTCCGCGTAAAGAAATTGTGGTTCGCGCGCTATTAATTCTTCTTTCTATGACGTCACTATAGACAGTCGTCACGCGAGATTTCCTGTCGTCATTGTCACTGTTGCTAGCGACGAAGGAAGCTACAGCTTAACTAGACGTGCGGAGAAGATATTTACTCTTATTCAGATAGCATTCAAATCAGGTACAGAACATTCTTTAAGGTACGTACGATTTCAGTATTCACTTTTTCTACATGAATATAGTTGTTTTCATTAAAAGCAAATCATATGAGTACTTATTAATCGGACATGTCTAAAGCGGAGTTGCATGTACTGTTTCACTTATCAATCATACCTGTCTGATGCGGAGTTATTGTTTCACTAACCTATCATACCTGTCTAAAGCGGAGTTATTGTTTAACACACCAATCATATCTGTCTAAAGTGGAGTTAATGTTTAACTCACCTATCATACCTGTCTAAAGCGGAGTTATTGTTTAACACACCAATCATATCTGTCTAAAGTGGAGTTAATGTTTAACTCACCTATCATACCTGTCTAAAGCGGAGTTATTGTTTAACACACCAATCATATCTGTCTAAAGTGGAGTTAATGTTTAACTCACCTATCATACCTGTCTAAAGCGGAGTTATTGTTTAACACACCAATCATATCTGTCTAAAGTGGAGTTAATGTTTAACTCACCTATCATACCTGTCTAAAGCGGAGTTATTGTTTAACACACCAATCATATCTGTCTAAAGTGGAGTTAATGTTTAACTCACCTATCATACCTGTCTAAAGCGGAGTTATTGTTTAACACACCAATCATATCTGTCTAAAGTGGAGTTAATGTTTAACTCACCTATCATACCTGTCTAAAGTGGAGTTAATGTTTAACTCATCAATCATACCTGTCTAAAGAAGAGTTACTGTTTAACTCACCAATCATACCTGTCTAAAATGGAGTTTCTGTTTAACTTATCAATCATACCTGTCTAAAATGGAGTTACTGTTTAACTCATCAATCATACCTGTCTAAAGTGGAGTTTCTGTTTAACTCATCAATCATACCTGTCTAAATTGGAGTCACTGTTTAACTCACCAATCATACCTGTCTAAAGTGGAGTTACTGTTTAACTCACCAATCATACCTGTCTAAAGTAGGGTTACTGTTTAACTCACCAATCATACCTGTCTAAAGTGGAGTTATTGTTTAACACACCAATCGTACCTGTCTAAAGTGGAGTTACTGTTTAACTAATCAATCGTACCTGTCTAAAGTGGAGTTACTGTTTAACTCACCAATCATACCTGTCTTAAGTGGAGTTACTGTTTAACTCACCAATCATACCTGTCTAAAATGGAGTTACTGTTTAACTCATCACTCATACCTGTCTAAAGTGGAGTTACTGTTTAACTAATCAATCGTACCTGTCTAAATTGGAGTCACTGTTTAACTCACCAACCATACCTGTCTAAAGTGGAGTTACTGTTTAACTCACCAACCATACCTGTCTAAAGTGGAGTTACTGTTTAACTCACCAATCGTACCTGTCTAAAGTGGAGTTACTGTTTAACTCACCAACCATACCTGTCTAAAGTGGAGTTACTGTTTAACTCACCAATCATACCTGTCTAAAGTGGAGTTACTGTTTAACTCACCAACCATACCTGTCTAAAGTGGAGTTACTGTTTAACTCACCAATCATACCTGTCTAAAGTGGAGTTACTGTTTAACTCACCAACCATACCTGTCTAAAGTGGAGTTACTGTTTAACTCACCAATCATACCTGTCTAAAGTGGAGTTACTGTTTAACTCACCAACCATACCTGTCTAAAGTGGAGTTACTGTTTAACTCACCAACCATACCTGTCTAAAGTGGAGTTACTGTTTAACTCACCAACCATACCTGTCTAAAGTGGAGTTACTGTTTAACTCACCAACCATACCTGTCTAAAGTGGAGTTACTGTTTAACTCACCAACCATACCTGTCTAAAGTGGAGTTACTGTTTAACTCACCAATCATACCTGTCTAAAGTGGAGTTACTGTTTAACTCACCAACCATACCTGTCTAAAGTGGAGTTACTGTTTAACTCACCAACCATACCTGTCTAAAGTGGAGTTACTGTTTAACTCACCAATCATACCTGTCTAAAGTGGAGTTACTGTTTAACTCACCAACCATACCTGTCTAAAGTGGAGTTACTGTTTAACTCACCAACCATACCTGTCTAAAGTGGAGTTACTGTTTAACTCACCAACCATACCTGTCTAAAGTGGAGTTACTGTTTAACTCACCAACCATACCTGTCTAAAGTGGAGTTACTGTTTAACTCACCAACCATACCTGTCTAAAGTGGAGTTACTGTTTAACTCACCAACCATACCTGTCTAAAGTGGAGTTACTGTTTAACTCACCAACCATACCTGTCTAAAGTGGAGTTACTGTTTAACTCACCAACCATACCTGTCTAAAGTGGAGTTACTGTTTAACTCACCAACCATACCTGTCTAAAGTGGAGTTACTGTTTAACTCACCAACCATACCTGTCTAAAGTGGAGTTACTGTTTAACTCACCAACCATACCTGTCTAAAGTGGAGTTACTGTTTAACTCACCAACCATACCTGTCTAAAGTGGAGTTACTGTTTAACTCACCAACCATACCTGTCTAAAGTGGAGTTACTGTTTAACTCACCAACCATACCTGTCTAAAGTGGAGTTACTGTTTAACTCACCAACCATACCTGTCTAAAGTGGAGTTACTGTTTAACTCACCAACCATACCTGTCTAAAGTGGAGTTACTGTTTAACTCACCAACCATACCTGTCTAAAGTGGAGTTACTGTTTAACTCACCAACCATACCTGTCTAAAGTGGAGTTACTGTTTAACTCACCAACCATACCTGTCTAAAGTGGAGTTACTGTTTAACTCACCAACCATACCTGTCTAAAGTGGAGTTACTGTTTAACTCACCAACCATACCTGTCTAAAGTGGAGTTACTGTTTAACTCACCAATCATACCTGTCTAAAGTAGAGTTACTGTTTAACTCACCAATCATACCTGTCTAAAGTGGAGTTACTGTTTAACTCACCAACCATACCTGTCTAAAGTGGAGTTACTGTTTAACTCACCAACCATACCTGTCTAAAGTGGAGTTACTGTTTAACTCACCAACCATACCTGTCTAAAGTGGAGTTACTGTTTAACTCACCAACCATACCTGTCTAAAGTGGAGTTACTGTTTAACTCACCAACCATACCTGTCTAAAGTGGAGTTACTGTTTAACTCACCAACCATACCTGTCTAAAGTGGAGTAATGAAATTTGATTTCACTTTCCATTGTTTTTTCTTCAAAACTCGCACCTTAGAAATTATTAAAATCGTTTCAAACTTAACTGAACTTAATGGCCCCTGATATTTCAACATAATACCATCGAGATGAACTCCTGAATCACACCATCGGGATTGACATCTTTAAGGATATTGTGATTATATTGTAAATAATTCGTCAATCTGGAAAAAGAAAATTGAACTTAACAAAATACACCATTGGTATCATTTCAAGTTTGGTTTGTAAATTGTTTATTTGTCCGTCCGGTTAACTTCTGTCCGTCTTTCCGTCTATCAACAATTAAGGGTTGGTGGAAGTCTCACATGGAGTTATCTTTAAATTAAAATATCAATATATACAGCCATTGTATATTAATTTAAGACATAGGACTTTCTAATCACACGATACATGAAAAGAAATACCACATATATAACAAGAAATACCACATATAGTTAGGACTATATGAGATATTTCTATTGATTGTATAAGATATTATAAGTAGATCAATTATCCTTACGTTTAGTAACACATATGTATCAATTTAAGTATCCAATATCAAGAGGCTTATGTATCAGTAACACACACAAAATGTTTAAATGAACTGCACACTTGTTTCAGAATCTACAATGGATGACGAACAACTGCGAAATATTGCACAGCTTTTGGTGAAGAGTGTAATAGAGAAAGCTGTTGATAAAATAAATACCGAAACAAGGGAAATAAACGAAGGTCTTGACCAGGGAGTTGATGATATTGTAGGGCTGACCATCGGACGGTCAATCAACGCCATCCGCGATTGTCAAAGTTCACCAACTGATACTAAGATGGAGGGATTGGCCGGACAATTTGATAAGGAAGTAGACGACATTGTAGGGCTGACCATTGGACGGTCAATCATGGCCATACGCAAAGGTCAAAGTTCACCAACTGACAATAAGATGGAGGGAATGCTTGGACTTCACAAAACCTTGGTTACTGCAACACCGGAAGTAACAACTGGCGCTACAGGAAGTAAGCCCCTAGAGATTAAAGATGGTCGAATCAAACCAAGTGTTGGAGAAAACGATAACCAGCCTCATATTGTCACCTCTGACCCCGTCAAAGGTTATTTTAAAAATAAGAATATTCCGATCTCATGCATGCGGTATTTGCTTCTTTAGCTTAAACTACTCTAGTATTTCATTTTGTACGAAAAAAATGTAATGTTCGTAAAAAGACGTAGACATCTAGTAACAAAGCTGTATTTTATTTATTATTAACGTGATCAAGAAATATTTAAAAACGAATTTGTTTAAATCGTTATGTCATAATGAAAAATAGCATCGCTTTAATCAAATGTAAAATGTTGGAATTGTATTTCTTTTCAGTCTTAATCCTTAAAGACGACAAGCCGACAGAACTAAAGAAAGCGCACCTAACTACAACGCATGCGCAGATGAACATGGCCTCCAACAAGAAGAATGTACTGGGCCGATTGTTGGACAGGATCCTCAAGGTAAGACAACCATCTGACTATCGATGAACATTTCTATTAGATCGTTGATCAGTATCTCAGCATTGTAACAGGAACCAAAAACTATAATGTATATGATTTCTGAATAAACATCAAACACAATCACTACTACATATACTTTAACGGAAAGGGTTGATCAGTTAAACCAGAAACACCTGACTTGGCATGATGTTGTCAATGTTTAATATAATAATTACTTTAAAATCAATAACAAAAAACAATCTACTTACTGTAAAAAGTAAATACAGAATAGCAATAAACCATTGAAAGAAATACTAGCTTGATATAATTTATGTAACCTTTTATTTTAGAGAGACAAGAAAGAGGTCAAGGAAATCGATACTGCTACAGCTGGTGAGAATGTTATTCACTTGATAAAATCGTTCAGATTTGGTCATTAGGTAATCATACATGTGGAAAAAACATGTTTCTCAAAATGAATCTGAAAAATTCTCAAGCCTTTCCGCTTCACTAAAGTCTGTGGTCAAACCACTAGACGTTTTCCGACAAGAACATAAAGAGGAACACCGGAAAGATCCGAGTGGTTTTTCCAGCACTTCAGTTAGCCGCTAGGAAACAAAATAGTGAATGTTTGTGAGGCAAATCAGGTTCTGGACCGGACTCTATACCCCGGTGCCTTTTCAATAATTGCTTTTTCGGCCTTCTCTCTGCTTGTATATGAAAGGCTCGCGTGATTTTGCGATTAAGCTGCTTGAATATTCCTACTGGTACTGTACGAATTAAACTTTTACAAAAAACAAAAAAAAACAGATCAATCAGCCATTTTTGTCATGGTGGTTACTAAATGTGACTCGTTCCTTTTAAATGTCCAATAGGTGGCAGCACCAACACCTCAGTCGGTGAAAAGAAGAAGAGCGCATCCAAGGCCCATAACAAGAGAGACTGGATACGTAGAAATCTCCTGTGCTGCTTCGTCAGACAGACTGCCACAGTTGAGCCTCTATTCGAATAAATACTTAAAGCGAAACAAGTCATGGACATTATTAAGAAAAGAGGTCTGTTTTGAAAAATGTGTTCGGGAAGTCGGAACATGATGTGACTAGTGATATCTATATATAAAAACAAAATAAAAGTTGAATAATGTTGATATCTGCGAACTTTTATTTAAATTTAAGAGGTCAATGTGGGGTCAACCACAACATTTGGCTTCATGTCATTTAGGTCGTTTATGGTCTCAAACTCTTTAGTATTTAATGCATGCAAGCTGCTAACCATATATCATATACTTCACCAGTGTTTTAACATTCTTCAACCCTGTGAACTGGAATATAGGTCAAGGTCATTTATTTTCTTAACTTTCGTTTGCATCATTGACAGTATGTCTGTTGTTTTAACATACATATGTAACTCATTATATACAGTTTTGTTGTAATATATTTGACCCCTGAGTTTAAATTTCGGTCAATGTCATTTCTTTGTATAGAACGTTGTATTATTCAACATGCCAGTAAGCTGCAGGGTAATATCAAGAGCTTTCGGTTATTTAGAATCAGCCATATCAATGGTTTAAAAGATTTGTCTCTTTTGACCTTGACTATAAACCAAGGTCATTTCTTTTCTTTGACAGTGAAGCACTTCATGCCAGCAATCTTCCGGTCATATGTATCATGAAATATAGTAGACAGGAAAGATAGGAAACATAAAATCTTTAGTATTGCAACGTGGGCAACAGATAACTTCTGATCTCCTAAATGTCCTGTTAGAAGACGGGACTGAAAAAACCCAATTATGTAGAGTGCCCAACATAAGTCATCGTTTACGATACACATGCAGTGGGATACACCTGTATACTCCGGGTCCTAGACATAAACAGAAGACAATCAGGAAACCATTCCAATTCTGCAGGAAAATGGACCGGAAGGGGGAGGGGCAAATAACCCACCTCTTTCACTGGGATACAGCAGGCATGTTCTTTCCATGAACCTGCACGGGTTGGGTTAAGAAGTAAGAGGGCCAACATTCAGGAGGCTAACAGGTAGGGAGGGGGGAGGGGCACATAACTCACCTCTTACGATCATGCCAAGGGACACAGAAGACACATGTTTCCCTGAACCTGCACGGGTTGAGTAAAGATGACCAACACATTTAGGAGGCTAACAGATAGGGGGATAGCATACATGTAGGCTCAAGCATACACTGAAGTTTTCAAGAACTATTTTTTTAATCATAGATTTTTATCAATTTCTTTTATCTTATGTTTAATATGGACCATCCGTATCAATCATAAAAAAGAGGAAGGAATAAAAAAAAAAATCTCCTTGAAAAATTTAAGTCTGATAAAATAGTGTTGTTATGTTATGTATATACAAATTGACAAATCAAACGTTTAACTGAATCAAAAACTACTTAGTGAAGGACAAAATGTAATACTATCCTTATAAAAAGTCGGGGTTACTTGATAATAATCAGTCTAAAATGAGTTCTTAGAACACGGGAGATTTCTCCTAGGGCCTAGTAGATTTTTTCCAGACATGGTTCCTTCCATACCCTCTTCCTCCTCCGACGCTACGCGCCTCGGACGCTCGACACCCTGTAAGCATTCACTCCGAACTTCACATTAGCTCGACTGCACCCTGGACAGTTGGTCAGAAAATCGACATCTATAAGGAAAAGAATGTTATTCACAACAACGTCTTGAATACCGAGTAAATTGTGACGCGTAAACGGCGAAGGTTAGGGTTATAGAGAACGAAAAATGCGGGGGGGGGGGGAACGAAATCTCTTCGCTTATCGTACAACTTAACGGTACACCGTTTAAGTTGGTCATGGTGGGAGGGAGATAGGGATAAACTGCTGATTTGTGTTCCTTGATTTCAATAACAGTAGATCAGGAGGGTATGTACGATCAGCGTGTTTAATGATATCTTGTTATACAAAGACAGCATACCTTCGATATATCTGAGAGTAATAGTGATGAATTTGGTAAGGGTTTTTACCAGATCGCAGAAGCTCTTCAGTTGATTCTGCCTCGAATAAAAACAAAAACACTCGACCAGGAGAAAGACACATTGATTCCTATGGGGTTGCTTGCAGTCTTGCTACTTAATACAACAAAGACATTTTCAACCAGTAACAATGCAATTCTCACGACTAAGTGACACAGCTCTGTGTATCGTCATGTCAAGAACGAAATGTTGCTGTGTCAAGGGGAGTAACTCTTGGTGTCTTACACTGACTTGAAGGAGTGTAAAGCCATACACATATCGAAAGTGTTTCTAAATTATTTCAAAGTCACAAGTTTTTGTTAAAACTGTTATTTTTTTAATTGTTCTTTGACTAATGTACTTCATCCTCAGATTCTAATACCATTAATTTATTGTATAACAATAACAATGAAAAACGTATATACATCATATACATCTAACATCAAACTTGTTATAATACATATTATACTCAGATACATAGTACAGAATTTAAAACTGATTAACGTAAGTTGAAATAAAGTTCTTTAAAGGACGGTATATTTCCGTCTGTTTTCAAAAAAGCTTACCTTGGACCAATTTTAAGGCTGGTAAAATTAAAGAAATGACTATGACTTTTCTAACTATTGACCAGTGTCCTTGTTTCCTATCTTATCAAAATTTTTGAAAAACTCGTAAATGAAATAATTTCTGATTATATTAACCCCTTGATAGCTCATGAACGAACAACATAGATTTCTGCCTAAAGTTCAATCATTACAAATCTTGCTTGTTTTACAGATTTCATTACAAACTCTTCCGATGAAAAGAAAGAAGTGCATGCCATATACTTGTACAGAGATTTCACTAAAGCTTTTGACAGCGTTAATCATCAATTAATGGTACACAAACTGTCATCATTTGGGGTTTATGGTAATCTATTAAAATGGTTCACAAGTGATTTGAGTGACCGGCTTCAACGTGTAACAATAAATGGGGTAACTTCCTGTTGGAGTAATATCACTTCCGGTTTACCACAGGGTTCTTTAATCGGACCAAAACTGTTTACTATGTTTATCAATGACCTTCCATCAGTAGGGGAAGCTTCTGACTATATGCTTCTGCAGCAAGATGTTGACAAGGTGTACAAATGGAATGTTGACTCAAAAATGTCATTGAATGTGATGAAGTGTTGTCAAATTGTTCTCACAAATAGGACAAAGTCCTTAGATTTTAAGTACAAAATGGAAAGTGAAACATTGACGAGAAAAAGTTGTTTGAAAAGACCTTGGCGTATGGATGTCATCTACTTTTAATTTTGATCGTTAAAAAGGTTGTATCCAAGGCGATGCAAACATTTGGTTTCCTGAAACGTACATGTAAAAATTTTGCTAATACATCTGTCATCCGTCCTTTAAATATTAATATGGTCAGAAGCAAACTAAAATGTGCTGGTGAAATATGGTGTCCATATCGAACTACTCCGGCACATCAATGAGAAGTAGTTCAGAGAAAATTTTCTCAATTTTTTTTTATGGTTTAAAACAAAGATTGACTGTAATGTTTTATCTTATGAAGAAAGCTGTAACTATTTCAAATAGCCACCTCTTTTAAAACGTAGAATGTAGTAAGATCATTTGTTCCTTTTTAAGTGTGTAAACAGCATGTTCATATCTTATTGAACAAATCAATTTAACGGTTCCAAATAGGTCTCTTAGGTCCAGCTGAACGGCGCGTTTTTATACCATCAAGAATTGTTTTGACGTAAGGAAAGATAGTCTTTTTAGCGGATCACTTAAAACGTTAAAAGCAGAAATGAAACAGGTAAGTTTTTAGTTGTTTACACATAGTCTGTTTGTATTTTATGTATCATATATATGTTGTATGATCATTTTACATTTGGTCTGTGAAATTATATGTGAATATCATAAACTGCGTTATTTGTTATCAACCTGTAAGTGGGCCTTATGGTCTGAGCAGAAACATATACAGACATCGGTACATAACATTAAACTTGTTCCCTGATGCGGACATAACCATAGCGTAATCGGGCTGCCAGTCGGAATGGGAATGTTATCAAATTTGAATTCTTTTTCAAAAGTGTTTGTAAATAAGGTCATATCTTTTGATTCTCATAATATCCTTTGACAATCACTTGTAAATTGTATTTATTTTAGCAAGGTTAAGTTTGAAACTTATTCCGAAAACTTTGCTTTGTATCTTAATTATACACTTTAAATTCGTTTTTTTTTTTTTTTTAAATCAACATGTGAAAAGGATCACAACGATCCTCTTCACATGTTGAAATAACATTCAAAACATTGTTTATACTATTTTTGATCAATGTCCTTCCATAAGTTTTATATTGTTTACTGCCGGATCTCATCACATCATATTATATGGTCAAGTTGAGACATCCTGCCACGTATGCGCTCGGAACGCTTAAGTGTATTTTAGCGAATGACACCAGTACCTAGGGATGAAGGGCCTACTTTACAACTTGTGTTCATAGATCTCTATATAGGTCGCGGGAATGGTACTGACAGTCACTTTAGGAAGAAGGTCTAAATCTGGGTTAGTTTCGGCCACCTCGTCCCAGTTTCACTTTCCAATAGGAATTCAATAGGGAAAACATCTTGATCTAAATTTGTTCAAATTATCCGTTGCTCGGACAGGGATTACTTATGTATTCCCTCCCGTAGATAGAAAGTAAAACAAACCCCTTTACTATGTTGCATGAGTTTTTCGAAAATCTTTACTGTAACATAAATGAAAGAAAAACGCTATTGTAATTTTCTTGGTAATTTTCACGATGCATACAAGGTATAACAGTTCCCAGGCAGCCTATTTATACGTTATATAAGTAAAACACTGGTACACCCAAACCATCCCCAACATCAGCGACCGCCTAACACACGATATATATACACCGTCTACACTGTCTACTTGCGTATTGCGCTTCAGTTCGCTCACTAATTATTCTCATACATTTTTAATTATGAATATGTATTTCTGTGTTGTGTTCATGATGGCTGTCTGCATGGTGGCGCCATTCCTCACGTTTATTTCCAAATTCTTCATTTATGATGACTAACGATATATAAAGAAGGCGAGTCTGGTGATTTAATTAACGGGTTGCT